TTTACCTATTAATTAAATTCTTTCATTTCACAGCAATGAATCAATCTACCAAATAGACTGGTATTTTGTAAGATCTATATATAATTTAGTTAGATGAGCTGATTTACACCAGTGAAGACCTAATTTGAAGGTCGAGACTAGTCGAGACAGGTCGAGACTGGTTGAGACTGAGTCAAGACTAGTCGAGACTGGTTGAGCCTTGGTTAAGACCATTTCAGACTACACCAAGATCATCAAGTACTGAATCAGACTAATTAAGTAAAGTCGAGACCTAGTTGAGTACAATTAAGTACAGTTAAGTACTGTCGAGACAATGTCGAGACTAGTCGAGTAAAATGTGTGCTTGACTTTACTGGTCGAGCACAAAAACTGGTCTTTTCAGACTCGGAGCAGTTTGTAGTGCTATGATTATGGGATGTTTTCTTCAACAACAATTGTTAAAGTTTGTGATTAGGTCAGTTTGAAGGAAATCATTTAAGGTAGCTCAGTGAAATTTGGTATGTACTTGTATAAGCATCATACATCTCTTTTCCATTGAGGTTACTTGGGAATGCCACCTTAGTCCTGATCCAATGTCATTGACTTCCAAACTTGCCCATTGCTTACAAATTAAAGTTTGTAATTAAGTCAGTTGAAAGGAAACCATTTATGGTAGGTCAGAGAAATTTAGTATTCCCTTTTAATAGCATTGGCAGATCTCTTTTCAGTGGAGGTTATTTGGCCATGCCACCTCAGTCCTGATCTATTGACTTCCAAACTTGTCCATAGCTGACAAGTTAGTTTGTGATACGGTCAGTCAGAAGGAAACCATTGATGGTAGGTTAGAGAAAGTTGGTATTCTCTTGTAATAGCATTGACACATCTCTTTTCAATGGAGGTTATTCAGCCAAGCCACCTCAGCCCTGGTCCATTGACTTCCAAACTTGTCCATAGTGTACATGTTAAAGTTTTCTGATAGGTCAGTTTAAGAGAACCACTAAATGTTAAGTCAATAATATTAGGTAAGCATTTGTAAAATATTGTCATTACTCAATTCTGTGGTGATATATTTTGGTTTTACCCCTTAGATGTTGTCTATTGACCTTGAAACTTTTGCATATTACAGGTTTAATAAAGTGTTGCCTTTTGAGTTTCAACAATTTTTTATTATACTATATACTATCAATTTTACATACAGGTAAGATATTTCTCTGTGTCAAAATTTTATTTAAGATTTTTACCTTTTTCTGTACTTTTGGATCTATCATTCATGAATATGTCATATAAGCATTGGCATTGTGACTCACACTCAGTTGCATCCATTGCTATTGATAATGACAGTTATTTCTTTTTTTAGCTCACCTGGCCCGAAGGGCCAAGTGAGCTTTTCTCATCACTTGGCGTCCGTCGTCCGTCGTCCGTCGTCGTCCGGCGTCGTCCGTCGTCGTCCGTCGTCGGCGTTAACTTTTTACATTTTTAACTTCTTCTAGAGAACCACTGAATGGAATGAAACCAAACATGGCATGAATGTTCCTTATGAGGTGCTGACCAAGTGTTGTTACTTTGTAGCCGATCCATCATCCAAGATGGCCGCCAGCGGGGGACTAAGTTTAACATAGGACCCTATGGGAAATGCATACAAATGACTTCTTTTAGAGAACCACTGAATGGAATAAAACATAACATGGCATGAATGTTCCTTATGAGGTGCTCACCAAGTGTTGTTACTTTGTAGCCGATCCATCATCCAAGATGGCCGCCAGCGGGGGACTTAGTTTAACATAGGACCCTATGGGAAATGCATACAAATGACTTCTTTTAGAGAACCACTGAATGGAATAAAACCAAACATGGCATGAATGTTCCTTATGAGGTGTTGACCATGTGTTGTTACTTTGTAGCCGATCCATCATCTAAGATGGCTGCCATCGGGGAACTTAGTTTAACATAGGACCCTATGGGAAATACATACAAATGTCTTCTTTTATCATTTCGAAGTTAGTGGAAGCACTTGTTCTATTGCTTATGCCATGATACTGTATTCATCTTTCAATTATGTCAACCAGCTTAACTTATTTGAAATATGAAATTCTCATAGTTTTTGTGTTAAAAAGATATAGCAATTTGTTTTCATGCTTTAAATTAAAAGAGAATTTTGTATCTTACCATAATTTCACAAATCTAAGTTAAATATATATATGTTTTCTTCAACAACAATTGTTAAAGTTTGTGATTAGGTCAGTTTGAAGGAAATCATTTAAGGTAGCTCAGTGAAATTTGGTATGTACTTGTATAAGCATCATACATCTCTTTTCCATTGAGGTTACTTGGGAATGCCACCTTAGTCCTGATCCAATGTCATTGACTTCCAAACTTGCCCATTGCTTACAAATTAAAGTTTGTAATTAAGTCAGTTGAAAGGAAACCATTTATGGTAGGTCAGAGAAATTTAGTATTCCCTTTTAATAGCATTGGCAGATCTCTTTTCAGTGGAGGTTATTTGGCCATGCCACCTCAGTCCTGATCTATTGACTTCCAAACTTGTCCATAGCTGACAAGTTAGTTTGTGATACGGTCAGTCAGAAGGAAACCATTGATGGTAGGTTAGAGAAAGTTGGTATTCTCTTGTAATAGCATTGACACATCTCTTTTCAATGGAGGTTATTCAGCCAAGCCACCTCAGCCCTGGTCCATTGACTTCCAAACTTGTCCATAGTGTACATGTTAAAGTTTTCTGATAGGTCAGTTTAAGAGAACCACTAAATGTTAAGTCAATAATATTAGGTAAGCATTTGTAAAATATTGTCATTACTCAATTCTGTGGTGATATATTTTGGTTTTACCCCTTAGATGTTGTCTATTGACCTTGAAACTTTTGCATATTACAGGTTTAATAAAGTGTTGCCTTTTGAGTTTCAACAATTTTTTATTATACTATATACTATCAATTTTACATACAGGTAAGATATTTCTCTGTGTCAAAATTTTATTTAAGATTTTTACCTTTTTCTGTACTTTTGGATCTATCATTCATGAATATGTCATATAAGCATTGGCATTGTGACTCACACTCAGTTGCATCCATTGCTATTGATAATGACAGTTATTTCTTTTTTTAGCTCACCTGGCCCGAAGGGCCAAGTGAGCTTTTCTCATCACTTGGCGTCCGTCGTCCGTCGTCCGTCGTCGTCCGGCGTCGTCCGTCGTCGTCCGTCGTCGGCGTTAACTTTTTACATTTTTAACTTCTTCTAGAGAACCACTGAATGGAATGAAACCAAACATGGCATGAATGTTCCTTATGAGGTGCTGACCAAGTGTTGTTACTTTGTAGCCGATCCATCATCCAAGATGGCCGCCAGCGGGGGACTAAGTTTAACATAGGACCCTATGGGAAATGCATACAAATGACTTCTTTTAGAGAACCACTGAATGGAATAAAACATAACATGGCATGAATGTTCCTTATGAGGTGCTCACCAAGTGTTGTTACTTTGTAGCCGATCCATCATCCAAGATGGCCGCCAGCGGGGGACTTAGTTTAACATAGGACCCTATGGGAAATGCATACAAATGACTTCTTTTAGAGAACCACTGAATGGAATAAAACCAAACATGGCATGAATGTTCCTTATGAGGTGTTGACCATGTGTTGTTACTTTGTAGCCGATCCATCATCTAAGATGGCTGCCATCGGGGAACTTAGTTTAACATAGGACCCTATGGGAAATACATACAAATGTCTTCTTTTAGAGAACCACTGAATGGAATGAAACCAAACATGGCATGAATGTTCCTTATGAGGTGCTGACCAAGTGTTGTTACTTTGTAGCCGATCCATCATCCAAGATGGCCGCCAGCGGGGGACTTAGTTTAACATAGGACCCTATGGGAAATACATAAAAATGTCTTCTTTTAGAGAACCACTGAATGGAATGGAACCAAACATGGCATGAATGTTCCGTATGAGATGCTGACCAAGTGTTGTTACTTTGCAGTCGGTCCATCATCCAAGATGGCCGCCAGCGGGGGACTTAGTTTAACATAGGACCCTATGGGAAATACATACAAATGTCTTCTTTTAGAGAACCACTGAATGGAATGAAACCAAACATGGCATGAATGTTCCTTATGAGGTTCTGACCAAGTGTTGTTACTTTGTAGCCGATCCATCATCCAAGATGGCCGCCAGCGGGGGACTTAGTTGAACATAGGACCCTATGGGAAATACATACAAATGTCTTCTTTTAGTGAACCACTGAATGGAATGAAACCAAACATGGCATGAATCTTCCTTATGAGATGCTGACCAAGTGTTGTTACTTTGTAGCTGATCCATCATCCAAGATGGCCCCCAGCGGGGGACTTAGTTTTACATAAGACCCTTTGGGAAATACATAAAAATGTCTTCTTTTAGAGAACCAAAAAATGGAATGGAACCAAACATGGCATGAATGTTCCTTATGAGATGTTGACCAAGTGTTGTTACTTTGCAGCCGATCCATCATCCAAGATGGCCGACAGCGGGGGACTTAGTTTAACATAGGACCCTATGGGAAATACATACAATTGTCTTCTTTTAGAGAACCACTGAATGGAATTGAACCAAACATGGCATGAATGTTCCTTATGAGTTGCTGACCAAGTGTTGTTACTTTGCAGTCGATCCATCATCCAAGATGGCCGCTAGGGGGGGGAGCTTAGTTTAACATAGGACCCTATGGGAAATACATACAAATGTCTTCTTTTAGAGTACCACTGAATGGAATGAAACCAAACATGGCATGAATGTTCCTTATGAAGTGCTGACCAAGTGTTGCTACTTTCTTGCCGATTTACTGTTCAAGATGGCCACCAGGATATTTTATTAAATAACGGGACCAATATTAATCAAAATTTGGCCTCAATCATTATTTGGGTATCTGTTATGATTTTTATCTATCTTTACATGATTTCTAAAACCAAAGTAGAGTCAGGTGAGCGACACAGGCTCTTGAGAGCCTCTAGTTTTTTCTTTTTATCAGGGTATACTCAACTTATAAGGAAGCTATTAAACTGAAAAATCAGATACAAGAGGCGTGTTTCTTCTTGAAAGGTATGAATTCAAACACAGAAAATATTATACATTTTATTAATAAAACTTTAAAAGGCATATTGTATACTTAAGATAACTGAATGTTCTCTCAAATTACTCAAATTTGCCATTCCAGTGTTTATGGGCTCTAGATTTTTTGGGGGGCAAATGTTAAACAAAAACAAATATCTTCTTTGGTCAGTTACAACTAGACCAAGGTAAATGGATTCATCTTTGTAATATTACTGCTGTCCAGATTTTAAAAAAAGAGATAAAATTTTCATAGAGGTTTCTCATAGATCATCTGTTGGAATTTTTTTATACAGAAATTTTTTAAATTTTGTGAATTTTGATATCAGAGATTTTGATACTGCAGGATTTGTAGTTCAAATTTCTTTCTCAGTTAAACACAGAAATGATACTTTTGTACCAATTGATAACGGTAATGTTATTAAAGAATGATTTCGATAAAGAAGGAAAAGTATTTTTATGACTTGACATTTGATCCAATTCATTTGTTTTCCACCAAAATCTTGTAGAATTAATCTGCAATTTTCATGAAATTTTTTATCTGAACTTTCTAATACATGACATGTGTTATATTGGTTTATTCTTTTTTGTTTAACAACTTGTGAGAATTGAATATGGCTTGATATCAAGTCTCTTAAATTAATTTCAATAACAATAACTAACTCGCCAATGACTCTTTTACACTTACATTGAAATTAAATAACTCAAATTGGTATCAAGAGATATCTAATAGCTTGAGTTATCTAATTCTTACTTGTTATGAAACCTATAAATATATAAAAACAGATGAGAAGCCATACTGGTGGAATATCAATGTTGAATATAAAGGAATTGTTGAGGAGGCTGAAAAAGCAATAGATGCAGTAAAAATGGGAAGTCCCGAATGGATTGAAGATTTCAAGGAAGATCCTGTGGCTACATTTACCAAAGGAAAGAATACCACGGTAATATATTGATATGATGACTGAGAACAAACAGAAGTGGTATTCTGCTTAAATTTTATTTAACTTTGGATAATTGAAGACAATGTTGAAGTCCAGTACTAATGAAATTTAAGTGCCAAAGCAACTTAAATTTGTTTCCTTTTATATTAAGTTGAAGTTAACACCCATAAAATGTACTTTGTTTCCAAATTTGAATATGTCAATTCAGAATGAAAACAGAGCATCAACTCTTGAAACTTTTGTCAATTTGCCTTTATAGGTTTTTGTCTCACCTGAGACTACTTAAAGGTTTTTATCTTTTTTTTGACAGTATTTATAGGTTTTAATCTCACTTGAGACCTCATTTATGTGTTTTTGTCTCACCTGAGACTTTATTTATAGATTTTTGTCTCAACTTAGACCTTATAAACTTTTGTCTTACTTGATTCATTATAGACTTTTTTCTTACCTTAGACTTAATACCAAAAGTACTTTTTATTGTTTTGATCTCAAATTATGATGTTATTGTCATATCAGATGTTAATGCCCTCCAGGGCCCTTAATTGGAATAAAATGAAATATTCTTCTGTATGTGAGACTTTAATAAAGAAATTATCATTTCGAAGTTAGTGGAAGCACTTGTTCTATTGCTTATGCCATGATACTGTATTCATCTTTCAATTATGTCAACCAGCTTAACTTATTTGAAATATGAAATTCTCATAGTTTTTGTGTTAAAAAGATATAGCAATTTGTTTTCATGCTTTAAATTAAAAGAGAATTTTGTATCTTACCATAATTTCACAAATCTAAGTTAAATATATTACCCCCCCCCCCCCCCCCCCCCCCCATGTCCCCCTTGCAATAGTAGGGGTACTAATTGCTTTCCTGTCTGTGCATCTGTCATTCCATTTGTTGTGGTCACATTACCTTGAAAGTTAGTATACATGTTTAGTATGATGTGAACTTTAAAAATGTATGCCAATTAGGGTTGTGACCATTGCTTTGTTGTTCACTGAACATAGAAATGTGATAATGTGAGAGAGGCATAATGTCCTATGGACACATAATCTTGTTTGATGAATAATTTTGTATATCTGTGCTTATTGAATTGTTATATATGTTTAGTATTTTATTTCAGTCCCAACTGAGAGAGACTATAAAGAATGAAATCATTACAACTATAGAGGAGCTGATGAATCCTTTTAGAACCATTCTAAGACATCTTGCTGGTCCATTTTTTGAAGCCTATGAAACTGTTTTTGGGGTCATCAAGTCAGTGAAAGAGGCTTATTCTATTCTAAAGAAAGGGTAAGGTTTTTCATTTTTTGCCATGGCATTGTCAGTTTGTTTTTGATTTATGAGTTTGAATATCCCTTTGGTATCTTTCGCTTCTCTTTTATATTATTTCATCGATTGAGATTTAAAGAGGGAGAGTTGGATTACTAAAAACACCTTATTTAAAACCTGCTGTAATAAAAAGTCCTCATGATTGGTATCTTCAGGTGTTTCATCCTTTAAAAAAAAATGGTAGCTGACTGGATTGAGGTGATTTAGAGATTAACATTTGGTTTAGAATTATGAATTTTTTTGTGCTGCTGTTTTGCTGTCTAATTAAAATATACATTTATTCAAAGTAGTTTTACTCTGCATTTTTGTTTTTTTGGGTAGGGGGGTGGGGGGGTTATAATGACTTCTCATAGAAAATATATACTGTAGTTGAAGGACTTTTCTATTCTTCAGTTTTTGCCTTTCAGCACCTTGCATCTCTTCTTTTTTTTTTAAATGCTTTCTAGCTCACCTGGCCTGAAGAACCATGTGAGCTTTTGCCATCACTTTCTGTCATTCCATCGTCCGTGAACTTTTCATTAAAAGTCTTCCTCTGAAACTATACTATTATTACTTTTCATTAAAAGTCTTCCTCTGAAACTATACTATTATTACTTTTCATTAAAAGTCTTCCTCTGAAACTATACTATTATTAATTTTCATTAAAAGTCTTCCTCTGAGCACAAGTCATGTCTTCTTTGACTGTTCATGACGTTAAAATACTAAATCCCTGGGATGTATTTTAGTTGATTTTAGTCTCTGATGCATGATTTTTTATTATTAATTGTTTTGGTTTTTAACTAGCTGTCAGTAACTGCGAGTACTCTCAAATCGTACTTTCTTTTTAATTTGACCTGTTGATACTATTTGTAATGCTTTTTTGTTATTTAATGTTAACATGAATCTTGTCTATATACCAGCTTTGATTATTTGGTATTTAATTACCACAAATTTTCTCTTCTTCGTACTATGAACATCAAAATTATTTCATTTTTCCTTAGATGCTGTTCTTGGACCTGTACAGGGAGTTTTATCTAGCATTAATTGTATTTTTTTATTGTTGATATTCACCCCATATGTACCAAGTGTTAGATTAGTTTTATTGATATTAAAGAAATTTCTTGGTATTCCTAAACAGAAGATTTTATACACACAGAAGAAGAAGTATACTTAACAACAATTTTATTTCATTTACCTGTGTATAATATGACACAGTTTTCTTCAAAAGTGATGATTTTCTATAAATTGTTTGAAATTTCACAATGATATCATACTTTATCTTTGTTTAAACCTGTTTATTTACTTTTGACTTTAATTATTTATCCCTTGTAATTTTTTATTAACTGTGTATTTGCATTCAGGTATCACAGGTCAAATTTATTCGTTCATTGTGTGTTAATTTACGTTTTTTTGATTGAGTTAAGCCTTCCAATTGATATTTTATAGTGTGTTTTTCTATGTTGTGATGTTATACTATTGTTTCAGAAAAGGGAGAAGGTTTGGTACCATTAAAACGTTTAATCCCGCTGCAAATGTTTGCACCTGTCCTAAGTCAGGAATCTGATTACAGTAGTTGTCGTCTGTTTATGTAGTTCATACGTGTTTCTCGTTTCTCGTTTTTATATAGATTAGACCGTTGGGTTTTCCGTTTGAATGGTTTTACACTAGTAATATTTTGGGGCCCTTTATAGCTTGCTGTTCGGTGTGAGCCAATGCTCCTTGTTGAAGGCCGTACCTTGACCTATAATGGTTTACTTTTATAAATTGTAACTTGGATGGAGAGTTGTCTCATTGGCACTCATACCACATCTTCCTATATCTATTATTACTTTTCATTAAAAGACTTTTTCTGAAACTGTACTATTATAACTTTTTATTAAAAGTCTTCCTCTGAAACTATACTATTATTACTTTTCATTACAAGACTTCCTCTGAAACTATACTATTATTACTTTTCATTACAAGCTTCCTTTGAAACTATACTATTATTACTTTTCATTAAAAGTCTTCCTCTGAAACTATACAATTATTATTTTTCATTACAAGTCTTCCTCTGAAACTATACTATTATTACTTTTCATAAAAAGTCTTCCTCTGAAACTATACTATTATTACTTTTCATTACAAGTCTTCCTCTGAAACTATACTATTATTACTTTTCATTAAAAGTCTTCCTCTGAAACTATACTATTATTATTTTCATTAAAAGTCTTCCTCTGAAACTATACTATTATTACTTTTTATTAAAAGACTTCCTCTGAAACTATACTTTTATTACTTTTCATTTCAAGCTTCCTTTGAAACTATACTATTATTACTTTTCATTAAAAGTCTTCCTCTGAACCTGTACTATTATTAATTTTCATTAGTCTGCTTCTGAAACTATACTATTATTACTTTTCATTACAAGTCTTCCTCTGAAACTATACTATTATTACCTTTCATTATAAATCTTCCTCTGAAACTATACTATTATTACTTTTCATTAAAAGTCTTCCTCTGAAACTATACTATTATTACTTTTCATTACAAGTCTTCCATTGAAACTATACTATTATTACTTTTCATTACAAGTCTTCCTCTGAAACTATACTATTATTACTTTTCATTAAAAGTCTTTCTCTGAAACTATACTATTATTACTTTTCATTAAAAGTCTTCCTCTGAAACTATACTATTATTACTTTTCATTTCAAGCTTCCTTTGAAACTATACTATTATTACTTTTCATTAAAAATCTTCCTCTGAAACTATACTATTATTACTTTTCATTAAAAGTCTTCCTCTGAAACTATACTATTATTACTTTTCATTACAAGTCTTCCTCTGAAACTATACTATTATTACTTTTCATTACAAGTCTTCCTCTGAAACTATACTATTATTACTTTTCATTAAAAATCTTTCTCTGAAACTATACTATTATTACTTTTCATTAAAAGTCTTCCTCTGAAACTATACTATTATTACTTTTCATTAAAAGTCTTCCTCTGAAACTATACTATTATTACTTTTCATTAAAAGTCTTGCTCTGAAACTGTACTATTATTACTTTTCATTAAAAGTCTTCCTCTGAAACTATTCAATGATTTGTAAAATGGATGTCAACTACTGTGGATTTGATTATTTGGGGAATACCAAATTTAGTGGATTTGTGGATCTGGGTAAATTGTGAATTTTGATGTCGTAGGAAGTACACATTTTGCATAGGCTTGTATGCAGATTTTAACAAAGCAATGGAATACAATATCTGTTTTTCAATCCATGAAAATTGCTATCTTCAAAAATAAATGAATCCACTGTATATAGTTTGTGATTTTTGTCCAGGTTGATCAACCAACATGGCTAAACCAAAAACTGAATTCTTCAAGAAATCTTTTATGTATTCTGGACCATCCTTGTGGAACAATTTGCCTATATCATTACGAAGTATTACAAATGTTAATTCTTTCAAATACAAATTAACAGATCATTTATTGAAATCAACCAATTAAAAAAATATAAAATATCAATTATTTTTTTATCTTGATTATTTTTTCATAACATTTTATGCAGTTGTATTGAACATTGATCATGATACTTAACTTTTATACTAATGTATTTCATGTATATGTTTGCATTGTGCTTTTTGGCTAATATCTCAAAAACTATAGCAAATAGAGAAAAACTGACAGGGTTCAAATAGTCAGCATTACAAATTCTATGTGCACTCAAAATTTGGAAAACTGTTTGTCTGCCTGTTTTGGAGTAAGTGCCCCTGAAATATTGCCTTTTTTTTTTTTTTTTTTTTTTTTTTTTATCTTTTTTGACATTTCCTTGCCACTGTTTCAAAATCTATAGGAGCTATATTAAAATAAAAATGATCAGCATGACATGATGTACCACCTTGAAAATTATAGAAAAATCTATTAATTTGTTGTATGGCCTGCGACGAAATTCGCGGAAACCAAGACATAGGGATTGCTTTTCTGGTGACAGCATCAACAATTGTTAAGTTTTCTGCTTAAGTTAGTTTTATAGGAACTACTTATGATAGATCATTGATATTTTGTATAAAGTTGCATTACTAACAGTACATATCAGTTTGACAACTATTTTGAGGCCCTGCCCCCTAGGACATGGTCCAGTGACTGTGAATTAATTCGCAATTTTTAATGTTAAGTTTTCTGCTTAAGTTAGTTTGATAGGATCTACTTATGATAGATCAATGATATTCTGTATGAAGTTGCATTACTATCAGTTCATATCAGTTTGACAACTATTTTGAAGCCCTGCCCTAGGTCAAGGTCCAGTAACTTTGAATTGAACAGCAATTTTCAATGTTAAGTTTTCTGCTTCAGTCAGTTTGATAAGAACAACTTGTGATAGATTAATAATATTTTGTATAAAGTTGCATTTAATACTAACAAGTACATGTCGGTTTGACAACTATTTTGAGGCCCTGCCCCCTAGGACATGGTCCAGTGACTTTAAATTAATTAGCAATTTTCAATGTTAAGTTTTCTGCTTATTATATAGTTAGATTGATAGGAACTACTTACAATAGACAACAATATTTTCTATAAAGTTACATTAATGTCTATGCATCTCAGTTTGTCAACCATTTTTAGGCGCTGCCCACTAGATCATGGTCCAGCGACGGAATTAATAAGCAATGCTGCTGTCCATCAGATATAATTCTGAACCCTGAAGATCTCTGTCTTTTTCTGAATTTTATGCCGCGAGGCGAGACATATCTCTGTGTCATCAGTTTATTTAGTTATTGCCCCTGAAATATACATTTTTTTTTCAATGTTTGCTCTTGTTTAGCAAATTATTGGTTAAATGTGTGTAAACTGCAAAAATAAACAGGATAACAATATCATCTACTGTGAAAGTTTGGCAACCTGTTTTTTGAGTTATTGCCTCTGAAATGTTGATTTTTACTATTTTGTTGTTAATTACCAAAATGATCAACAACACAAAGAAAAACAATAGTATGTGCATATACAAGACCTAATTAGCTAACTGTTGATTTTTTTCACCAGGTGAGCAATACATGGACATGTGTGCCTCTTGCCTAATTGAAATGCCTAATACTTACAATACATAATTATTGTCAATTTGTTTACAGATATCAGTTGGGAAAGTCTTTAATTGATAGTATTTTTGGAACTAAAGCACATCCTGATTTTCCAAGGACAGTTAGACTGGATACTAATGGTTGTAGAGGAAAAGGATTTTATCCCTCTAGGTTAATGAACGGTGACCCAGAATACTCCTACAGTGGGGTTGACCTAGAAATAGAGACAGGAGAAATAGTAAGTAAATATGTTGAATAGTAGAACACTGATGTTTGTAGAGGTAAAAAGTTTACAATGTTGGTTTGAGATTATGAATTCTCCTGCAATGGTTCTAATCTGAAACTAGAGACAAGAGATTTAGTAAGTAAATAAGTTGTATAGTAGAACACTGGCAACTGTAAAAGAGAAAGATTTTATCCATCTAGATTAACTTTCAATTTTGTTGATGTTCAACTTGGCCGCTAATGTTATATAATAGCAAGCTTGAATTTACATCTGGCAAAGAAAATGGCCATCTATAAAAGATAAAAGCAAATGTTTTAGAGAAATGATCAGAAAGAAAACATGATGCAATTTTTGTATCATTTAATGGTAATATCAGTAGTTAAGCTTTGAAATATCTGATAATAATTTAATAAGCCTCACACTCTTTCAGATATCTTCAAATCTAAAAATAATGATTTTTATATGAGCGCAAAAAAAAATTTTTGGGTTCGTATAATGCTATGATGTCGTCGGCGTCGGCCAAAGACACATTTGGTTTCCGGACAATAACTTTAGTTTTAGTGAATTGATCTCTATGAAATTTTACAAGAAGGTTCAATACCACAAAAGGAAGATTGGGATTAATTTTCGGGGCTATGGTACCAACAGTTTAGGAATAAGGGGCCAAAAACAAGCATTTTTCTAGTTTCCAGACAATAACTTGTGTTTAAGTGTATGGATCCCTCTAAAATTGTACTACAAGGTTTCATGCCTCAATGGAAAGGCTGGGATTGAGTTTGGGGGTAATTACTCCAAGGGGGGTCAAAAAGATTGGGTGGGGGGGGGGGGATTTTTTTTCCCAATATTTTTCTTCAAAATTTTTGAAAAGTTTCAAGAAGAAATCTTCAATTGAAAGTATTGCGCAAGCGCACAGTATTGCGCAATAGATTTTTAAGATCTTTGACCACATTTATTTTGTGTCAGAAACCTTTATTATGTCAAAAATTTGATCACAGTCCAAATTCAGGTGGTATCAAAGCTTCAATATTATGTCTAAACTTGCCCCAACTGTTCAGGGATCGACCTCTGCGGTCGTATCAGGCTGCGCTCAGCGAAGCATTTTATTTTTAAATGATGTTTGCAAAATATTGAAATGATCATTTCAAGTTGAAAAACCAGTGATGTATATATATCATTGTCTTAAATCCTGTTTTTTTTTCAGGTTGTAGCTCCTTTCTCTGGATATATAATGTTAACAGATAATCCAAAGGAGATTTTGATAAAAGCAGACGAATCTCTAAAGAATACTGAAATTTACATCACAAATGTAGATCCAAAAGATACCATCCTTCATCCTTCTGATGGAAATTACATTGAACATATGGTAACAAAAATATTTGTATATTAAGTTCTAAAGTTAATGTGTTTTTCACCAATGCAGAAACATTATTTTATGTGTATTTTTATTTTATTTAATGAATAGTTGAATTATTACAGTTTTCAGATGTTTTGCTCTTGAGTTTTGTCCCTTTAGTATTTATTAAAATTGTAAAAAAAAAGGGGGAAAAGAGCATATTATCAGTTACTTTTTCACAAAATTAAAGGTAATCCCAACAAGATGTTAGAGTGAACAATGTACATTTGATAAGTATTTGTACCTTATTGTTAACATGTTTTTAACAATGGCCAATATTTTCTGCTGAACTTTAAAAATTAATGAACCAATTAAATAAGTCTTATGTTTATTGAAATGTATTTGCCATGTAAATGTCATAATTTCATAAAGTTTCCTTACTGAATCATAATATCTTACACCAGAAACCATGAGCAGAATTGATGTCAGCAATGAAATTAATTGTATAATAACTGATATTGTGATCTTAATTTTTCTATCAGATCTGGGGAGGTGTGACTATTGGAACAGCTACATCATCACCATGTAAGAACCATATACATCTGGCTATAAAGAAAGATGGAGGATTTGTTGAACCAACCAGATTTCTAGAAAGCAGACCTATATTTTTCCAGCCTTATGTACAACATTGTAATGATTACAAGCTGGAAAAATTGGTAAACATGTTTTAGTTATGGTCAATATAATTTGAAAGTGAATATTAATATTTTTCAATGTGTTGAAATGGTCATTCTGTATAATTTTCATAAATTTTAAATGAAGCCTATCTGACTTTAAACAAATGGTATGAGATTTGAGAGATTTTGAAACTTCCTTATTCTATAACAAGGGCTTTGTACAAGTGTCGTAATAGTATTCTGTAATATCATGGAGGAGGAAACTATTTGTGATTAATTTCAGGGTTACACAGTAGATGCAGGTAAAATACCACCAGATGGAGAAGGTCAGAAAGAAGTGGACGAAACTCCAGATACACAGAATACTGATGTTACTCCTATAGATCCTCCTGCTCAGTCAGATAATCCAGGCACAGATATGCAGACTATTAAAGGTAATCCTGTTTATATATCCTATGAGCCATAGCCTCGTTAAGAGTAAGAAGTGATATACGACATAAAACCCAAAATTCCTTATATTGCAATTATCCTAATTGATTACATTGCAGAATCATTTTTAGCAGAATCTTTCAAAGTGATATATTTTAAATGTCCTTGAAGAAAATTCTATGGACTGTCTTTCTTTATGTTGCAAAATGAAGAATTCACTTAATTCTATCTTTTGATTTTAGATGAGCCTGAAGGAATGTTTTCAAAAGTAAAGAGTGAAGTTAAAACAGGGATTGTGAATGGAGCTAAAGGTTTGAAGAAATATTTAGTTATAAAAGGAGTTCAATCTTATTATGTTATCCAAATCATATTGATGTTTATTTCTGAATTCTATCCTTACACTACAATCAAATAATTAAATACTGTTTAGGAAGTTTGCTGAATAATGTAAAAAGTTAATGGGGTCATGATATTACTATTATACCTCACTCAAAAAGTGGGGGCTATATGGCATTCATCTTCTCAGTCCACAGTCTGTCTGTTCTCCCCTCTGTCGGTTCATCCAACACATATTTCTGTCACAACTATCTAAGGTACAACTCAACAGAATTACTTTACATTAAGTCAGCTGCTTAGTCGTGATAAGTTGTAACGTGTTTGTACTTCCTGTTTTATGATACCATGATTTTTTTCAATATGTTAAATGAACATAACATTTTTCATAGAACTCTTCTCAAGTATGTCTGAGCAGTAAGACCTCATACATGGTCAGCAGCTTGGCCTGGATTAAGCTGTAATGTGTTAGCAATTTTCTGATGTGTCGTACCCTAACTTCATGTTGAATGAACTTAGAATTTAGGTTTCAGTATGTTAATTGAACTAAAAGAGCTTAAAAATATAGGTTGACAATGTTTTTCAAGAATATAGTACATTTTGTATATAAAATACGAATGACATGTATTTTGGTGCCAATCTTAACATTCTTTTCATGATTATTTTTATCAAGAAATTGAATTTTTATTGGTCCAACAAATTCTCCTTTGAAAACTTGCCCATATTCATATGACCCAATAATCAGATATTTGTCATTTCTGAATTATTTTATCAAAGCATGCACAAATTAATATATCCTTAAAAAAAGGATAAATGTCCTGGAGAAATCAGGGGGAAAACTGATTGTTTCTGTTGCAAAAAAAAAGTGGTAATCCATTTTGAGAGGTAATAAAGTTTGAACTAGGGCTCTTTATCACTTATGCATAAATAATAATACCTGTTTCAAGCTTTTGATTGAACAAAAGTTACAGATTTAAAGACGATGCAAATTATCATTGTGTTGTTATTGTTTTTTTTTATTAGAAATGTTTTCAACCCTTATGAAGAAAGCCGACAGTTTTTTCAAGAAATTCTCCTTAACTAGATTAAAGCTTGGATCCATCATTGAGTTTCTAGACCTCCTGGGAATGACAGAAAGTAAACAAAAATTGGCTGAAGTTCTCAAGAGTATAAAGGTATTTATTCTACCTCTGTAGTAAAAATGGAAAAAAAAAATATTTACGGGAAAAGAGTTCTCTAACTGTTTTCTGCTTTTAAATGTAAAAAAAAAATGAATATTACCTGACTGAACAATTTTCTTCAGGTTCAATAGGATAAACAGATTACAAAAATACTTTTCATCTGGTTCTAATGTGAAGAGAAGAAACACAAAATCTAGTTCCAAGGTGTTGTTAGGATTGGAAACATTTTTTATGGTAAATTTCTCTATTTCATAAGACTAGCAATTTTTAAGTCTCCCAGTTTGGGAGGACTTATTGTTTTTGCTCAGTTCTTCTTCTTCTTCTTCTTCTTCTTCTTCTCCTTCTTCTTCTTCTTCTTCTTCTTCTTGGGAGGACTTATTGTTTTTGCTCAGTTCTTCTTCTTCTTCTTCTTCTTCTTCTTCCGCCACTTTTAAATTTGAACTTGTCCGCACCCGTTCTCCAAAACCGCTTGTCAGATTAACTTAGGGATTCACAATATGTTAGACTAACATGTCTAGTGGTGCAATCAGGGTTTTGTTTGGGCAATGGGGTTTATAAAGGGGTACTTTGAGGGGCAAAAAGAAAGGAGGGTTTTACTATAGAACCCTATGGGATTTTATTTTTTTAAATTTTCAAATGATTATAAATTGAAACCGTTAGTGATAGACACAATCTTTTTAATTGAAAATGTTTTTATTGATAAAGCACATTAAATGAAATACAGGGTTAGTCCCCAGGGGTCACCCCCACCCCTTGCCATTTAAGAAAGTTCTAATACCTTGTAAGTGGTCAAGATCCCCACCCATAAACCATATATATTCTGGTTTGTCATGAGAAAGCACATCAAATGAAATACAGGGTCAGTCCCCAGGGGTCACCCCACCCCCTGCTATTTAAGAAAGTTCTAATATCTTGTAAGTGGTCAAGATCCCCACCCATAAACCATATATATTCTGGTTTGTCATACGAAGATGGTTTGAATGATATACAGGGTTAGTCCCCAGGGGTCATCCAGACACCCTGCCATTTGAGATCCCCACCCCTAAACCATATATATTCCTGTTCGTCATGTCTTGAACATTTGAATGACGTATAGGGTCAGTCCTCAGGGGTTCCCCCAACCCCCAATGTTCTAGTATCTTGTAAATGGTCGAGATCCCCACCACTAAACCATATATATTCTGGTTTGTCATGCCAAGATGATTTGAATGATATACAGGGTTAGTCCCCAGGCATCACTAATGCATATAACTTTACTGGACCAAACCAATTTTCACTGGACTTTGCCCAATGTCAGGCGACCCTGGGATTTACGAATTATTAAGCATCCTGTTACAATCATTTCTTGTTTTTAATTGAAATTCAAGTGAAAATAATATTAAGAAAAAAACCAATTTTTTTTTTCAAAAGAAACTTATAGATAACAGACCATGCTTGAACCCTGCTAAAGCTACAGAAGAAGAGTTGAAGCAAGAATTATTTGACAGAGGTCATGCAACAACTGGAACTAGAGAACAGATGATTGCCAGACTTACTAAACCAGATAACAGTAAGTGACATTTACCTGTACAAAGACTTAAACTTGATAACATTCCTCAAACCAATGTTAAAGTTGTATATTGATATAATATTGTTGAAAATATTGAATACAGTCAAACCTGCTTTTACTTTTACCTCGTTTCAGCGGTCACCTGCCTCTAACAGTCACTTTCAGACCCTCCCAAAAGTTATCTCTATATAAGTAACTCATTTCAGCTGTCATCTGTCTAACACGGTCAGCCGTTACATAGTTTTCGCAGGAAATAGTCATTTCAACTTTTAAGAACGGTCATTAAAATGATTTTCATGTTTTCAACAACCAAATTTTATAATCATGATGAAAAATATATGCATTCAGTATCAAGTTAAAAATGAGAATCGGAACCCGACTGTAACCAAGATCGCGGCACAAGAAGTGAATTTGTGAATGTCCCATGTACCACTCCTTTCAGTTTTAATTGAAGACCGTATCATCGACTTGTTTCTCCACGAATATTTACATATCCGAATGTTGTCTTCAAGTTAGTGTGCCAGAAACCACCATTTTCTACCACTTGAAACCAATAATTTGCCTAGATCCTGGCTACGTTTTTTAACCTCATTTAAAAGGTCACCTCTCTTGAGTGGTCACTTTTGATACTTTCCATGAGTGATTGCTTAATACAGGTTTGACTGTATATGTAATGAATACATATATCAGTTGAAGGTGTCACACCACCATTTCAATCAGCATCGAGAATATATTTAAAAGAAACTTAATATAACTGAATGATCCTGAGGTTATCTGGTAAAAAGTTTGTGTTTTTTGTCAACCGACATGACTGCCATGGCTAAAAATAGAACAAAAGGGTTAAATGCATTTATTGTTCAATATCTTGATAACCATAATTATTCAAGAAAATCTTAATGAGCAAAAATACCCAGAGAGTCAAGATCTACCTCTTTTTTACAACAAAATCATCTGATGACTCCTTATATGAGTTATGGTCCTTAAATGACAGTTTTGACTATATTTTTACAGGTGAGTGATTAAGGCTCCTAGGAGCTTCTTGTTTCAGGATGTCCAGGGAGGGCTACGACAACACCAGGCAATGTGTACTGTATATATGACATTTATTTCAAGGTGGCCCTGGATGGCTATAATAACACCATACAATGTATACTGTATATATGACATTTATTTCAAGGTGTCCAGGAAGCTATGACAACACCGTACAATGTGCACTTTATATATGACATTTATTTCAAGGTGGCCCTGGATGGCGATTACAACACCATACAATGTGTACTGAATAAATGATTTTTAGGCAGTTAAGCTGCCTTATGCGAGCACCCTAGATTTGTGTTCTACCCAATAAATGCTGAAATACGTGCCATTGTTATTATCTAGCTGGATATAATGTTATTTATAACTAATTGAATAGTTTTTTCATACTTTTAATTCTGGATTACAAAAATATGACCAGAAAAAACCTTAAATGATCGTCGAACCACCCAGAAGTTTTGAAGTTGCACATAGGAAGTAGAGCACATTAGGAATCCTTATGTAGTTTATTATCCCCTGTGCTTTTGGCTAAGATGTCAAAGAACAATTGTATGAAATATTTAATCGCCGAAAATCTTTAAAGACAAGTAGTTTAGATTTCCCAAATGGCAAAAGTCGTAGGAATATTGTTTGTCGTCAATACGTGGTACAACTACGTCAGTAGTCTATTAATAAGTTCAACTGTTCATGCTGTTGGCGGCAATTTCAAATTGGAAGACGAAATTTTCGTATCTTTTCAATTTGGAGGCAGGGGTTCAAATTAGCGGTGGTCCGAGGTCTGCGACCTTCCACTTTTGCAATCGGACTCTCGACTTGGTTACTAGCTGCGGAACCGTAGCTCTTAGGTCCTTATGTTATTTTTTGACTATTTGCGGACCATAGAGTCTATGGTCCGCAAATAGTCAAAAAATAACATAAGGACCTAAGAGCTACGGTTCCGCAGCTACTTGGTTACTAGCTACGCCCGACGGACCTTTCACTTGAAAGAAAATTAAAAATAACTTTGCAAACCTTTTAACCAAAGTCTCTAAATAAACGATCTCAAAACTTATTTTCATCTTTATTATTCATGACAGCGATGTTCATTTTGTTCAACCGCTAGCTGTATACAGATAATCGCCGACAAGTAATGTGTAAATTCGAGTAAAATCGTATCTGACTGACAAAAACAACATTGAAAAACAATGGATGCCGTGTAGACAATTACAATATCGGGTCCGATTCCGGAAGCGGATAAGGGTAATTCCGGGTTTTGAAGATCAACTACAAAAAAAAAATTTCAGGCAGGTGACAAAATACATCTATGCATGGTAAATAAATATAAACACTAGAAATGGAAACCAAAAGATATATGTAAAAGAAAGAAAAAGCAAAAACAGAAACTCAAAATTACTTTTTGACAAATTTTAATGTCAAAATCCAATACAATGTGACAGCTGGGAACAGTATATCTAACAATATATATGTTCCTGGTGACAGTATAAATCTTCTTTATCAGTGATAAATGTTGATAATGCATGTAAGATGCTTTTAAAGTGTAAACATATTACTGCAATTTTTTTCTCAATTTTGAAGGGTCAGTTAAAATAGCTGGAAGTTTCTTACTTTGTTTCCGCAAATAGTGCAACTATATCATATGATACCTGAATGTAAGCAAATCATATGATATATAGGTGGAATCCTTTGGGTCACTCTACCCCCTCCTGTTTGATAACTTTGAAACGGATGAGATCCCCACCCCTAAACCATATATATTCATGTATGGGACTATATAACTAATCAAATGAAATATAGGGGGAAGTCCCTAGGGTTACCCCACCCCTCCTGTTTGAGAACTTGGAAACAGTCGAGATCCCCACCCCTAAACCATATATATTCATGTATGGGACAATATAACTAATCAAATGAAATACAGGGGAGTCCCTGGGGTCACCCCAACCCTCCTGTTTGGGAACTTTGAAATGGTCGAGATCCCCACCCCTAAACCAAATATATTCATGTATGGGACAATATAATAAATCAAATGAAATATAGAGGGAGTCCCTGCGGTCACCCCACCCCTCCTGTTTGAGAATTTGGAAAAGGTCAAGATCCCAAGACAAGACAAGACAATTTATTTAAACTTAAGCACACTTATGGTGCTACAAGAGGATAACAATTATACATTAACAATTACATATATACTTATACATTTACAAGCAAAACACACAATAAATAAATAAGTGATATCATACAATAAAATTGAAATAAACCATATTTGGTTGATTTGTTTGCAAAATTCTTAATTGCAATGTGGATATGAAGTTATTGTAACATGCTTTGTATTATGAAAATATTTTTTCAATATGTCTTAGAAACATGCACACTTTTGTTAGCAGTGGCATGTTACAGTGTGATAATAGACCAGTAAGTTTCAATTAGGAAGGATTTTGTGTGTAATATGTAGGTATATACCTTTCTCTTAAAGACATAATTTGTTCATTGGAGCATACAAAAAAATAATGATCCCATAAACCATACATATTCATGTATGTGACAATATAACAAATGAAATGAAATATAGGGGGAGTCCTTGGGGGTCACCCCACCCCTCCTGTTTGAGAACTTGGAAACGGTGGAGATCCCCACCCCTTAACCATATATATTCATGTATGGGACAATATAACAAATCATGAAATATAGGTTGAGTGCTTGGGGCCACTCTACCCGTTCCTGTTTGAGAATTTGAAAACGGTCGAGATCCCCACCCTAAACCATATATATTCATGTATGGGACAATATAACAAATCAAATGACATATAGGGGCAGCTCCTATGGTCACTGTAAACCATCCTGTTTGAGAACTTGGAAATGGTCGAGATCCTCACCCCGAAACCATATATACTCATGTATGGGACTATATAACAAATCAAATGAAATATAGGGGAGTCCCTGCAGTCACCCCACCCCTCCTGTTTGAGAACTTGGAAACAGTCGAGATCCCGACCTCTAAATTAAACCATATATATTCATGTATGGGACAGCAGAACTTATCAAATGAAATATAGGGAGAGTCCTAAGGTTCACCCTACCCCCTCCTGTTTGATAACTTGGAAACAGATGAGATCCCCACCCCTAAACCATATTTACTCATGTATTTGGCAATATAACAAATCAAATGAAATATAGGGGAAGTCACTGGGGTCACCCCACCCCCTCCTGTTTGAAAACTTGACAACGGTCGAGATCCCCACCCCTAAACCATATATATATTCATGTATGGGACAACATAAAATATCAAATGAAATATAGGGGTAGTCCCTAAGGTCACCCCATCCCCTCTTGTGTGTGTTTTAAGAACTTGTAAAGTTTGAGATACCAACTCCTTAACCATATTCATTCCTGTTCGTCATTTCAAACAGATTTGATGGACATACAAGGTCAATCTCATAGGCATCACATATGCATATCACTTTACTAGACCTAATCAATGTGTACTAGACTTTGCCCAATGTCAGGCGACCATGGGAATGAATAATTATGGGAGCTTTGTTTGGGAGACTTCGTAACAGCATTCTGTTACAAGTATTTCTTGTTTATTATAAAATTTTATTGATGCAAAAAATGAGTAGGTTTAAAGAATTTACCTTAATTATATTTTGAATAATTTCTGGTTCTATAAAAAATTTCATTTTAATATTGCTCATTTTAAAGAAAACATATCTTTCAAGCCCAAGAATGTTTGACCAACTTTATTATAATCACCTGTCATTTTATTCCAAACTTAGACATCATGGACTTGGGGTGAAGGCGGGGGTCATTTACATTTACTATGGGCAGGTCAGTCAGACCTCACCTTTGATCCCCGTAGTAGTAAACATTTGTCTGATTTGTGTCTCATAACTTTTGCACTGTAGAACACAAACTCAGTTTTCTTTCCAGGGAAGCAAGTCCATGCATACTATTACAAGCTCGTACTAAGTCAACTTGAACTACTAACAGTCAACTAATACCAACGTTAACTATCAACTAGAACAACTGCAATCATTTCGAACTTGTACCACTGCAGACACATGACCATTAAAAATATACTTGATATATGCGTTGCTTTTGAAAACCTTGATAAAATATGAATTATTTGCCTTAATAATTAATTCATTAAATGAACATAAATGCACAATATATGAATGTTTAATGTTTGTTCTTTTAAATCTTAAAAAAATATAATGAAGCAACATAGCCACAGTTTTCATAATTATGTTTGCCTTGGTTTTTGGTTAACTGCCTACAGCGCTTACAGTGCTTTGATTATTTCAGGATGTCCTTGGAAGGCTATAACAACACCATACAATGTGTACTTTATATATGACATTTATTTCAAGGTGGCCCTGGATGGAAATTACAACACCATACAATGTGTACTGAATAAATGATTTTTATTTCAGGATGTCCTTGGATGGCTATAACAACACCAGACAATGTATTTTGTACTTATGACTCAATGTGCTTAGGTGTAGAATGTTGTCTAAATGTCAAACTGTTCATGTTCCTGTACACTATTAAAGCCTACGCCAGATATGATCCATGTGACTACACTTTGAGTGTTGGGTTACAAGGTTACAATTATACTATAAAGTTTGATATGGGATATGATGGTAAGTAGACATAAAACAATGATAAATAGTATTTGTTTTGCTTTCAAAACAAAAGTTTAACATTTGTTTTCGTGGGTACCAATTTTCCAATATCGATAATTTTTATTTTGTTCAACTTTTAAATTCATGGTTCACCTGTTCCCAGGAAATCCATGAAAATTGGTATCCCATGAATAATAATGAATCCACAGTATTTCTTTTTAAAAGATGGCAGGAGCATCATATTCTTTCTGAAAAGTCTGAAAATGGCCCTTAAAACTATCTACCAAATTTGTGGAAAGAGTATAATTTCTCAGAAAATGATGTGCAAAATTTGCAGAGATGTATACTATTGTGATTGCACTCTTAACATCATGACTTGAGACCGGCACATATAGAATGTGGCATGGTTAAACATGTTTGTGGGCGCTCAACTCTCCCCCTAACCTGGTACAGTGGCATTACAGCACAACATAAGAACAAACTATAAAAATCCGTTGCAAATGGGCTCTACTCAAAAGATCGGTACAAGGCACAACAACAACTTACATTAAAACAATAGATACAAATTTTGAGTTTTATTTTGTTAATTCTCAAAGATCTTATCTGGTCCTACAACATATTTTAAAATCTCAAAATTGACAACACTGTATAACATTGTATCTGCTCCCCTTAAATGCATTTGAAAGAAGAATATTTTAGAGCCTTATATTAAAATGTGCATGCTGATAGAATTATCTGTTATTTACTAGATTTGATGTTATTTTTATTATTTCAGGAGTTTCAGATGAGATACCTACAGGGTTTGATGTTGGATTGCTGGATCTTGTCTGCTTGATAAAGTAAGAAACTGCATTACATTTATGTCACTTTCTTTATACCAGAAATATTGTAGGTGATTTGAAATTTATCAAATTTTACACTATCTGGATTTTATTTTGGTTTTCAAAGATATTGTCTGGAAAGTAGTTTTCTGTTCTATGCGGAGAGTGATCTTTTAGGAGTGTCTTAAATATCCCATAAGATCTACTATTGAAAGAAAGCATTCTTTGCTACAGTATTTTTTTGAAGGCTATTTAGGTAAAAAATGGCAATTGAAATTATGCTTCAAACTGGAAGTAGCGATTTCATGACCCTTATCTTCTGAAAAACACTTTAGGTAGTTTTATTTCTTAATGTTTGGAATCTTTCTTCATCTCTAACTTCCTTGCCTTACCTATTTCAGTACGAAATGTTCAGCCCACCTCACCAAAGACGATATTTTTGGGCAGTCCAATACTTTTTGGTCTGATTTTCTTTACTTCGGCCAATTTAAAAAATCTGAATTTCACAAAAATTAACTTGTTGCAGGAGTATATGCTGTTAAATGATAATGAGAAATTATCCCTTTGAAAATATGGAACATTGTGGGAGTCCAAAAACTGAAAATAGCACTGCATTTGACGAAAAAGAAGTCATGCATGGTGATTAAAGTATGATCACAGAAGATAAATATAGGACTCATAAGTAGCCTGAATTATTGTTGAATTTTCTATATTGATCTTTATTCATTTATATTTTTAAGGTATGACATACAGAAGACTGATATTGGATTAATTGCCTCGGTTGGTGTAGGGTTTTGTGATAGTTCTGACACTGATAACTGTGTGGTTTTCATCAGTCTCCTAGCTAATGCTGTATTGCCATTACCAATATGTAAAACTGACGGAACTATCACACGGCCTCAAGGTAGTGTATAAAGTCAATGTTAAAGTATAACCATTACCAATATGTAAAACTGATAGAACAATCACATGGCCTCAAGGTAGTGTATACAGTCAATGTTAAAGTATTACCATTACCAGTATGTAAACCTGATGGAACTATCACATGGCCTGAAGATAGTGTATAAAGTCAATGTGAGGGTATTACCATTACCAATATGTAAAACTGATGGAACTATCACATGGCCTGAAGATAGTGTATAAAGTCAATGTTTATGTATTACCATTACCAATATGTAAAACTGATGGAACTGTTACATGGCCTCAAGGTAGTGTATAAAGTCAATGTTTATGTATTACCATTACCAATATGTAAAACTGATGGAACTATCACATGGCCTCAAGGTAGTGTATAAAGTCAATGTTAAAGTATTACCATTACCAATATGTAAAACTGATAGAACTATCACATGGCCTCAAGGTAGTGTATACAGTCAATGTTAAAGTATTACCATTACCAATATGTAAAACTGATAGAACTATCACATGGCCTCAAGGTAGTGTATACAGTCAATGTTAAGGTATTACCATTACCAATATGTAAATCTGATGGAACTATCACATGGCCTCAAGGTAGTGTATACAGTCAATGTTAAAGTATTACCATTACCAATATGTAAAACTGATAGAACTATCACATGGCCTCAAGGTAGTGTATACAGTCAATGTTAAGGTATTACCATTACCAATATGTAAAACTGATAGAACTATCACATGGCCTCAAGGTAGTGTATACAGTCAATGTTAAGGTATTACCATTACCAATATGTAAAACTGATGGAACTATCACATGGCCTCAAGGTAGTGTATAAAGTCAATGTTAAGGTATTACCATTACCAATATGTAAAACTGATGGAACTGTTATTACATGACCTCAAGGTTGTGTATAAAGTCAATGTTAAAGTATTACCATTACCAATATATAACACTGATGGAACTATTGCATGACCTCAAGGTAGTATATAAAGTCAATGTTAGGGTATTACCATTACCAACATGTAAAACTGATAGAACTATCACATGGCCTCAAGGTACTGTATACAGTCAATGTTAAAGTATTACCATTACCAATATATAAAACTGATGGAACTATCACATGGCCTCAAGGTAGTGTATAAAGTCAATGTTAAAGTATTACCATTACCAATATATAAAACTGATGGAACTATCACATGGCCCCAAGGTAGTGTATAAAGTCAATGTTAAAGTATTACCATTACCAATATATAAAACTGATGGAACTATCACATGGCCTCAAGGTAGTGTATAAAGGCAATGTTAAGGTATTACCATTACCAATATGTAAAACTGATGGAACTATCACATGGCCTCAAGGTAGTGTATAAAGTCAATATAAAGTATTACCATATGTGTTTTTTGGAAGTGGTATTTTATCCTTGCTTCAAAAGAAGGTTCATATTTGCCTTTACATCACTGTTTAATAGCATATTTTTATGCCTCCACCACAGTGGAGGAGGCATTAGGTGTTAACTTTGTCGGTCTGTACGTTCCAAAATTAGTTTCCATTCCCTAACTTAAGTTTGCCTCAACCAAATTTTATGAAACTTGTACACAATGTTTATTACCACAAAACTCAGATCAAGTTCGAATTTAGATGGCCTCACTTCTATTGTTCTTGAGATATGTTCCTTTATAAAGTTATATGCAAGCGTGGGCATCATTTGTGTCCATCATCTGTATCTCATGGACATAATCTCCATTTATTTGTTCTGCCAAGCTGTTCTAACTAGATACACTGTGTTCTAAATTTTTATATCAGATATAGTGAATGCATTTATTTTGAATGTAATTTACATAATCAATATTTTGTAGTTTTTTAGCTCACCTTTCCAAAGGAAATGTGAGCTTTTGCCATCACTTGGCGTCCGTCGTCACTCCGGTGTAAACTATTTCAAACATCTTCTCCTCTGAAACTAATGAACCAATTTCAACCAAACTTAAGCTGAATAATCCTTAGGGTATCTATAATAAAGTTTGTGTTTTATTTTCTGTTTCAACAAAAAACATGGCCGCCATGGCTAAAAATAGAACATAGGGGTAAAATGCAGTTTTTGGCTTATATCTCAAAAACTAAAGCATTTAGAGCAAATCTGACTCGGGGTAAAATTGTTTATCAGGTCAAGTTCTATCAGCCCTGAAATATTCAGATGAATCTAACAATTGTTGGGTAGCTGCCACTTAATTGGTAATTTTAAGGAAATTTTGCAGCTTTTGGTTATTATCTTGAATATTATTATAGATAAAGATAAACTGTAAACAGCAAAGTAAGATCTACAAATAAGTTTAATCTGACCAAAATTGTAAATTGACCCCTTAAGGAGTTATTGCCCTTTAAGGACAATTTTACACAATTTGTTTATCATGTTTTCTAACTTTAAAAAATCTTCTCCTCTGAAACTACTGAACCAAATTAAACCAAACTTTAGCTGAATGATTCTTAGGTTATCTAGAATAAAGTTTGCGTTTTATTTTCTGTTTCCTCAGAAAACATGGCCGCCATGCATATGGCTAAAAATAGAACATATGGTAAAATGCAGTTTTTGACTTATATCTCAAAAACTAATGCATTTAGAGCAAATCAGACAAGAAGTTAAAGTATTCCTGAGATCAAGGTCAATTTCAGCCAAACTTGGGCTGAATGAGTTTCAGAGTATCTAGTATGAATTTTGTATTTTATTTCCATGCACATCAAGAAACAGCCACTATGGCTAAAATGGAACATTGGGGTAAAATGCATTTTTTTTACTTTTGAAGAAAATATGACAGATACAAAGAACATTTAAATGGCATTTTTAAGCCACTCATTAATATATGTTGAAAAGCAAAAATAATCATTGATGAATGATTTAAGCAAAAATTACAGGTGAGCGATTCAGGCTCTTGAGAGCCTCTTGTTTCACAACATGTCCCCATTATTACTTTACCATATCTCATCTACCTATTTTTAGATCACCTGACCTAAAAGGCCATGTGAGATTTTACCATCACTTGTCGTCAATCATCGTCAGTCCTCGTAAAGTTTTTCAAAGATCTTCTATGAAAATACTGAACCAATTTCAACCAAACTTTGCTAAAATATCTGAATGGTATCTATAATAATAACAAGATCATCAAATTACTTAATTGAGATACTGTGAAGTGATTTATTTTCATTGATACCAATTTTCAAGGATTGAGGAACAATTGTATTAGTGGATATTTGATTTTATGGTTTTGTTAGATCTCCATACAAGCCTATGGAAAATTTGTACTTTGTTGAAAATTTGAATTCATTATTTACCTTTACCCATGAAATCCATGAAAATTGGTATCCAACCAATACTAATGAATCCACAGTAAGCTAAAATTATATCTTGTACAAAAATGTATATATTTTGCAATTTCTGCTTGTAAATTGTCTGCTTTTAAGGTTTGTTTAATTGGTTGAGAAAATTAAATTCAGATTTTGTTTGAATTGTCTTCTTTGAAATTAATGGGAATATTATTATATTAACTCAGTCTTATGTGATCTGCATTAGCAGTTGAATGTTGTTTCCAATTGTAAGACTGTTGTTCCTGTAGATATAATTTTTGTCATTGATGTTGTTTCAGATTGTAAGACTATTGATGCTGTAGATGTCATTTTTGTAATTGATGAATCTGGCAGTGTTGGAGAAAATCATTTCAGAGATTCAATGGCTGCCTTGGTTAATTCTGTCGAAAAACTGGCTATTGCTGAGAACTATGTCAGAGTTGGAGTCAGTTTATTTGCTGGAGCAGGAACATCTAGGCCATTGTTACAACTAAACTCTGAGTATGATAAAGAGACAGTCAAACAAGTTCTGATAGATGCAGTCTATCAGAAGGGATCACACACAGAAATAGGTGATGCTTTCCAGTATGTCTGTGATGATATGTTTGTACGTGAGAAAGGTGACAGATCAGATGCCCAGAACTATCTTATTCTGTTAACTGATGGCAAATCTAATTCTGGGAAAAATCCTGTCAAAGTTCAGGCTGCAGCATGTAAAAATAAGGCAATAAGAATTGTTACTGTAGGGATTGGATCAAATACAGATGAAGATTTACTGAAACAGGTTGCCTATTCTATGCCTAATTATTATCTATCAACTGATTATGATAAACTACCAGAAACTTTGCCTAATCTGGTTATTCAAACCATGGATTGTAGTACAGGTATGTCAAGACTTTGAGCGTATAAGATTTTATATTGATTCATGATAAATTATTTAGTTGATACATGCATGTACTATATAATTAGGGGTCCAAAAACTAGTTGAAAATTGACCATTGTCAAACATATGTGGAAGAGCCTTTTTAATGACCTCAAAACTACATTTATTATGATGTTATGGATCCTAAACTATCTGGTTTTGACTTCACTTTACCTCATCTTTAGAATAAAGAAATCTTTAAATCTTCAAAAATCACTGAAATATACGGCCAAATAAGGCCCTAGTTGTACCCTGCCCTTTCATTGCACAAAATTTGCAAAAGCACTGACTGGACAAGAAAAAATTCTGAGATCAAGATCACATATGTATGTTACTCATACAAATATTGCAGTGATGTAAGGAATATTAACGTATGCAGCAGCAGATTTAGTCCTCATTATCAATCATACATGATACTTATTTCAGAGTGGGTTTTGAATTTTGAGTACAAAGACTATTTTGACCTAGATGTCATTAAATCTAGAATTGAAAAGGCAGCAAAGAAAAAGTTACTGGAAGCTGTAGGAAAATTACAAGAGGAATTATTAAAGGCACTTGGACTACCAGAGGTACATTTATAGTTTATACTTCCCACACAGATTATAATTAAGATAAACTTTATTTATTAAAATGAAATTGTTTACCCCTACAGTTTGCTGTATAGGGCTAAAAACCATTCTGTTAAACAATGGTTTTGTATTTTTATGAGATGAAAGGATCAAGGAAATGCTCTAAAAAAAATTAGAAAATGAAATGCATATTATTTAAGTAATACGGTAACTGGTCAAGAATCATAAGAAATCAACTAAACAATAAAGTGTCACAGATTTAGAGGATTGATTTAAGTGGATATTAAGGAACAATTAATTGACCATTGATACTACTGGTAGAGTTACTAATTAGTATTTATATTTCAGGACTTCTTACAAAGCACTGGACCATGTGTTAGACCTGACAAAATGAAATTATCTCAACTTAAACAGGAGTTGGAGAATAGAGGACTGAGTACAACTGGTTCTAATGTAAATCTTGTGTCCAGATTACAAACTGATGATAGACGTGAGTATAAAGTAAATCACTTGGTACAACTGGTTCTGATAGAGATTTGGTGTCAAGATTACAAACTGATGATGGACGTGAGTATAAAGTAAATCACTTTGTACAACTGGTTCTGATAGAGATTTGGTGTCAAGATTACAAACTGATGATGGACGTGAGTATAAAGTAAATCACTTTGTACAACTGGTTCTGATAGAGATTTGGTGTCAAGATTACAAACTGATGATGGACGTGAGTATAAAGTAAATCACTTTGTACAACTGGTTCTGATAGAGATTTGATGTCAAGATTACAAACTGGTGATGGACGTGAGTATAAAGTAAATCACTTGGTACAAATGGTTCTGATAGAGATTTGGTGTCAAGATTACAAACTGATGATGGACGTGAGTATAAAGTAAATCACTTGGTACAAATGGTTCTGATAGAGATTTGATGTCAAGATTACAAACTGATGATGGACGTGAGTATAAAGTAAATCACTTTGTACAACTGGTTCTGATAGAGATTTGGTGTCAAGAATACAAATTGATGATGGACGTGAGTATAAAGTAAATCACTTTGTACAACTGGTTCTGATAGAGATTTGATGTCAAGATTACAAACTGGTGATGGACGTGAGTATAAAGTAAATCACTTGGTACAAATGGTTCTGATAGAGATTTGGTGTCAAGATTACAAACTGATGATGGACGTGAGTATAAAGTAAATCACTTGGTACAAATGGTTCTGATAGAGATTTGATGTCAAGATTACAAACTGGTGATGGACGTGAGTATAAAGTAAATCACTTTGTACAACTGGTTCTGATAGAGATTTGATGTCAAGATTACAAACTGGTGATGGACGTGAGTATAAAGTAAATCACTTGGTACAAATGGTTCTGATAGAGATTTGGTGTCAAGATTAAAAGATGATGATACTGTATATCAGGTTTTTATCGTGTGTGTTTAATTTTTACTTTGTTCACAGAAGCTGAAAAACACGAAAAGTTTGACCTTGTGTAAATTTCAAGGTTTCAAAATAATAATAAATGTAAGAAAAGTGTATAGTAAAGACATTTGTACTAGTGAAATAAGTCAATAAGTAATTATTTTAAAAGCCAATGATGTATAAAAACTGTTTCTTCTGAGTTAATATGCATTTACTTAAAATCAACATAATTTTTTTTTAAACATTGAAAAGCTACATAATGCAGTAAAATTATTTTAAACAGAATAAATAATTTGCTTTAAAAAATATTTTTTTTAACTTAGCTATTCTCCAGTAACTTATGATAGACCTAAACATTAAAGGCACAGTTTAGAGAAATGTAGGTTCACTATTCATTTAATAGACTATGTCTCATTGGCACTCATACCACATCTTCTTATATCTATATACAGATTTAATTCCTTTATCTAAAATATCTATATTTTCATTTTTTTTTTTCATGTTTTCAGGATGTGAAACACTTGGCACTACCTTGTATTTACCAGAAATTACCAATCCCTGGTTGAAAGATCATCTGTACTACTCAATATCCAATGACTGTCTACGTTTGGATGTCTGTGTCGACATCTCTTTTACTATTGGTAGCTTTAATTATTCCAAATCCTTCAACGCTTTCCTTGAGCTAGATTTCTGCAAGTTTGTGTTGAATTATGGGATTGAGTCACAAACAAAATCAGTTATTCTTCTCAGTTACAAATGGGGTGAGTTATTAGTCTGAAATAAGAAGTAAACAATGTATATAGTAACATGACTTTAAAGACATCAACTAGTATAACTTTTTTTAATCATAGATAAAGTAAGTAACATGGATATCATCATGCCATGCAACTTAAAGACCTTATCGCTATATCAGAATCTACAACACATGACCCAAGATTTAGTGACAATAGACATATTGACATCATACAACGATCACTTTTGCATTGTTGCTTAAGACATTTTCTTTATGAAGTCAAAATTTGACAGAAATGTCTGTGATGGTCAGTAATTGGGAACAAATAGCGATAAGGTGTATATAACCCTAGTAAATTAGGCCAACACTTGACATACATAGGTTATCTTGTATCAAAATAATTATATCACAATGCAGATTTTAACCAATTCAAATGTTTGTCTATAGAAACATTAACAGTGTAAGATAATGGGCTAAAAAGTTACATTTTGAAAGTAATCATTTGCTCGTCAAAGACGGGACATATTATGGTATACCAATGTGTAGTCTATCCATCTGTCCGTCAGTCTACATTTTGTACTATAATTTGAATTTGCTTCAACCAGTTCTCATGGAATTTTAACATGACATTAGGATTGAAGGAAGAAAGCTCCCTTTTGATTTTGAAAATTTGTTTGCTCTGTCGTTCCAGAGTTACAGGACTTTAACCATTTGAATTAAAGCAATTTTTCACATACTGCAAACTAACTTCAGTATGCCTGGATTGATTTTCTCAAAACTTTACATTATTGTTGGGATTGATAAAAGGAAGCTCTCTTCAATTGTTTTAATTTTTTGTTTTTCTGTTCATGTGTTAGGAGACTGTAAACTTGGAATTAAGGCAACTTTTCACATATCTCACACTATTTTTAGTATGTCTGGATTGATTTCCTCTAAACTTTGAAGATTTTTATTTAGGGATGCACATGTATTATTGCATAAAAAATTAGTGGTTTTTATGTCCTCGCCAGGGCGCAGGGGGCATTTAGTTTTACCCTTGTCCATCCATACGTCCCAAAATTAGTTTCCATTGCCTCAACCAAATGTTATAAACTTATACACAATGCTTATTAGCACAAAACACAGATCAAGTTTGAATTTGGGTTGCGTCACTTTTACTGTTCTTGATTTTTGCTCCTTTATAACGTTATATGCAAGAGGGAGCATCATCTGTGTCCCATGGACATATTCTGCATTTATTTATAACTGTGGTATCAATATCTCACATTGCGCCATAATAACTATACCAGGTGAGTGTTATAGACTCCTTTAAAACCTATCCTTAATTTGTCTCTTCTAGGTAAACTAGAGACACTGACAGTTACAAAGGATTTTAAAGTTCTGTAAGTATGATAACACAGTCTCTTTTAATTTTTAAGTAATTGACATGTTTGAATGCTAAATTGGATAATTTAGATTTATTTGTACATTATAGCTCAAAGTTGATATAAGGGTTTCATTGAAAGTAATAGGAAAGAAGTATGACAGTATACATGTGATTATATATTTTATATTGAAATGATAAATTTTCCTGAGATGAATTTTATGACATTGAAGGACTTTTGAATTAATCAGATTTACTGCATGTGAAAATCAGTTGTTCATTTGATTCTTCATTTTCCTATAATTGCATGAAATGATACAAGTGTCAATGACATACTTGTCAACCTCTGAAGCTGAAAATGCAGGTCATGACCTGCACTGATGAAGAAAATGTCAGGTCATACACTACAAACCAGTAAAAGTCTGAAATGGCCTATATTTGTACTCGACTGTACTGATTTTTACTCGACCAGTCTGAATTGGTCTGAAATTTACTTGATAATACTCGACTGCAGTCTGAACCATACTTAACAGTCTGAACTTGTACTCGACCAGTACTTAACCATTTTATTTTCGTCTGAACCATGCTCGACCTAGTCTGAACCATACTCGACCTAGTCTGAACCATACTCGACCTAGTCTGAACCATACTTGACTAAGTCTGAACCAACCTAGACCTAATTTTTGTATCTATCTATTGTATTTCATCAATTTAGGAACTGTTTTTAACAGCTATTTCCCCTGGCTAGAAATTTGAACAACAATTTGAAATTCAAAATGTATTCAACATGTTCAATATGGCATATTGAAACCAAAATTTCACAATAAACATAATATAAATTCAACACCATATTTATCAACACTTACATATATATATCACCTTTAAAATAAAAATAAAACAAACTGATCAAATAATCTCAAACCGAATTGGGACTAACATTTTCAATGTTATTCAAATTTTTTTGAATGTTTCAGATATATTTTATGGTTACTGGACAATTTTCACCATTTACTTAAGCCTTGTATAGATTTATGGTGTCAGTTGAGTTTAGTTAATAATGCAGTGAACATTTTTTTTATTAAAATATATTTAAAATAGTATATAAAGCAACTTAATAAATTTAAAAAATAACACCTTTGTTTTGTAAAACCAAGAATTTAAGATAATCATGATAATAGAACTTCCATAGCAATCCTTGATAACCATTTAAAAAAGGAAATGTGTTCCAAAGCTGCAGAAAAAATTTATTTCAAGTAAATTTAAATAACTTTTGTCAAAATTAAAGACATGGCATACAAGAAGCACTTTAATAAGGTTTATTTATCTCAGTACATGTGTGTTTTACAGGTAAAAAGAAAGCCCTTTTTTTCTTAAACTCGTGTATTACTTATCTAGTGAAAGGCCTTGCGATTTAAGTTTAACAGGATGTTGCAATTTTTAATGAATGTTAATTAGAAATTAATACTCTCTGACCAGGTGTGATCTTTTAATGAGTTTGCCCCAAGCAGGAGGTATTACTTTATAAATCAGAAGAAAAAATTTATCTATTTCTTTAATTTTTTTATCCCCTTTTGATATATATTATATATAATATATCCCAAATTATAACAAAAATGGATATATTTCTAATATAAGGTTAAACAATTTCAGTGAATTTTTGGCTGTTGTTACCTCATTAAAAAGATAATTATATAACTATTGTATATAACCATGAAACCTATATAGTTTTTCTTTAGGAATTTAGGAAAATTAAGTTTAAAAAAAAAAAACACACATGCCAAACAAGAAGCACCTTATTAAGGTTTTATTACTCTCAGTAAAGGTGTGGTTTTTAGTTAAAAGAAAATTTTTTTTTTAACAAAACTCTAAAACTTTAAAATTAATATAATTAAATTATTATATAAGATAATTTAATTTAACTATCTCTATTTGATAAATCTGAGAATCATGTAAGGATGTAAAAATATATTTTTATATATATCTTTATTTTATTGTGGCTGTTTTCATTGTCAGAAAAAAAGAAATTAATTTTAACAGCTAACATTTAAAAAAAATATAGGTTTTTTGGTCAAGTATGGTTCAGACTGGTCGAGTATTGTTCAGACCTTTGGTCTAGTATGGTTTAGACTGAAAAAATTGGTGGAGTACAGGTCGAGAATGGGTTAAGACTGTTTCAGACTGGTCGAGTAATAGTTCAGACTATTTTCAATGGCAAAGATAAGGGTCAAGTACAAATCAGTACGGTCGAGTATGGTTAAGACTGGGGTCGAATAATGTCGAGTAAAATTCAGACCAATCAGACTGGTCGAGTAAAAATCAGTACAGTCGAGTACAGATATAGGCCATTTCAGACTTTACTGGTTTGTAGTGATAACGCTTACGAACTTTTTCGGTCCAATTTTAGTATTGAGAGTTTTTTTTTATATACTTTAACATATACAGGTACCATGAGTTTCCTAAAAAATAATCGCTTTTGTATTTGTTAACTTAAGTATATGAATATTTATCATTAATTAAATATCTTTCTAAAGCAATGCCCTTTTGTTGTTTTATTCACACTGGTTTACTTCTTTTTATTAATGAATCTCATAAACCCCAGCTATACATATAATTAGAAATCAATTATGGCTAATGTGCTCCTATACACAGGAGGAAGATAAATAGAGAGAAGTTAGTGTGTTTCCTTTCAGTGTAATATCTAGAGCATGATGATTTGATTTAAAGCTTTTACATTTAAGTGATAACAAAATTGTTCTCTCCGACAGAAATGTATTAAAAAATTCAAATTGTTTTAAAATTATTTTTACAGGATATTTGATATTTGCAAACGGCAAATCTTTTAATCAGGACATAGAATTGTATGTCAAGCTTGACAGTCAGCTTCAACTTTCTGTGGTACAATTAACAAACAATCCTCGAATTGTTACTTTTCAATCAAATGTAATGGTTTGATAGCTGTCATTGGCACGGTAAATAAGCAAATTCTAATTTCAAATGTTTACCTTTTCAAATGAAAAACGATGAGAAAACCGAAAGTATATTTGACTTCTAAATACCGGAAACAATATCGGTCAGAAAAACGGGTGAAAACAGTTCATTTTCTGAAATCCCGGGTAATTTGTATACCCGGCGGATATTTAAAAAATCCTGTGTGAAGGGGGAAATTCTCGGGTGTGACCCGCAGAATACGAGTCAGTTGACAGCTATGCAATGAGAAAGAAAAAACAAATTTCTTAGATGCCACTTTTAAAAGAATATTAAACATAACTATAGCCTTCTTTCAGCTCTCATTATTTAAAAATTTTTATGAAACGCATACACAATGCTGAGAACCAAAACTCGCAGACAGAGTTGGAATTTGGGCAGTGAGTCACTTACCCTTCTAGAGTTATGCCCCTTTATAACTTTAAAAAACCAGTGAAAAAGTGAAAATAACACATAGCACAAAAATACTGTGGACTAGAACAAAAAAACTCTTTAAAAACTAGCAGTGACATCAAATCCTCTCAAAAAGTATTTTCACATATTATAAGAAAGCTTGAGGGGGGCCATTCAGACACATTTTTGTCGAGCCTGCGACTTTTGTCGCAGAAAGCTCGACATAGGGATAGCGATCCGGCGGCGGCGGCGGCGGCGGCTACGGCGGCGGTGGCGGCGTTAGCTAACTTCTTAAAAGCTTTATATTTTAGAAGATGGAAGACCTGGATGCTTCATACTTTGTATATGGATGCCTCATGTTACGAAGTTTCCGTCAGTCACATGTCCAATGTCCTTGACCTCATTTTCATGGTTCAGTGACTACTTGAAAAAAAAGTTCAGATTTTTTGTAATGTTAAATTCTCTCTTATTATAAGTAATAGGATAACTATATTTGGTATGTGCGTACCTTGCAAGGTCCTCATGCCCGTCAGACAGTTTTCACTTGACCTCGACCTCATTTCATGGATCAGTGAACAAGGTTAAGTTTTCGTGGTCAAGTCCATATCTCAGATACTATAAGCAATAGGTCTAGTATATTCAGTGTATGGAAGGACTGTAAGGTGTACATGTCCAACTGGCAGGTGTCATCTGACCTTGACCTCATTTTCATGGTTCAGTGGTTATAGTTAAGTTTTTGTGTTTTGGTCTGTTTTTCTTATACTGTATGCAATAGGTCTACTATATTTGGTGTATGGAATGATTGTAAGGTGTACATATCTAGCTGGCAGGTGTCATCTGACCTTGACCTCATTTTCATGGTTCAGTGGTCAAAGTTAAGTTTTTGAGTTTTGGTCTTTCTTTCTAATACTGCATGCAATAGGTCAGCTATATTTGGTGTCTGGAATGATTGTAAGGTGTACATGTCTAGCTGGCAGGTGTCATCTTACCTTGACCTCATTTTCATGGTTCAGTGGTCAAAGTTAAGTTTTTGAGTTTTGGTCTTTTTTTCTAATACTATATGCAATAGTTCAACTATATTTGGTGTATGGAAATATTTTATGATCTATATGTCAGTTACGCAGGTTTTATTTGACCTTGACCTCATTTTCAAGGTTCATTGCTCAGTGTTAAGTTTTTGTGTTTTCGTCTGTTTTTCTTAAACTATAAGCAATAGGTCAACTATATTTGTTGTATGGAAGAATTGTTAGCTGTACATGCCTGCCTAGCATGGTTCATCTGACCTTGACCTCATTTTCATGGTTCATTGGTCAATGTTTAGTTTACTTGGTTAATGTTAAGTTTATGTGACAGTTGTAATAAAGCTTTATATTTAGGACTATCAACATAATATCAATGATTAGTAAAGAAGGCGAGACATTTCAGCGTGTGCACTCTTGTTTTATTTTATGTAGGCTTTCCATTGATAAAGACACAGACAAGAAAGTATTTAAATTAGATTTTGGTTTGAGAATATGTTTTGAGGGTGACTGCGTCATAGATGAGATGTATTTAAAGGACCATGAAATTCCTATTCCTATTTGTAATGAAAATTCCACATTCTCAGGTAGGTAAAATAATTACCTGGTATAGTTTACACAGAGATGATTGCCAAATTTTTAACTTTATTAACAATATATATTTTTAAAAGGGTTATGCAAGTATCGGTCAATGAAAAACTGATACAAAACAAAACAAAATATAGAAAACAATGTCAGATTTTTTATCTGTTAAATTATATATTTGGCCCTTCCCCCTCAGTCATGCATGGTCTTTTGACTTTTAATCTTTTGTGATTAAGTCAGTGTAAGGTGGACCACTAGTGGTAGGTCAATGATATTTGGTATGAAGTTATATCAGTATTTGAATGTATCATTTTTATGACAATTATATGGCTGTACCCCATCATCATGGTTCATTGACTTTGAAACTTTTGTGTTTAAATGTTGAAGTTTGTGCTTAGGTCAGTTTTAAGGGAACCACTTGTAATATGTTAAAGATATTTGGTGTACAGTTGTAATGCATTGGAATTTCTCATTTACACAGGGGTTATTTGGCCCTGCACCTTCACTAATGGTATATGGACTTAGAATGCTCTGCATAGTTTGCATAATAAAGCAATGCCATTTTAAATTCAACCGTTGCATGATACTTTCAAAATTATATAAAGGCAAGGCATTTCTCTGTGCCAACAGTTTATTGTGTTTTTGTGGAAACTATAGTAAATAAAGTAAATAAATAGGGTATAGGGACAAACTGTAAATGGCAAAAATGATCAGCAGGACAAAAAAGTCAATTAGACCAAATCATCAGTCCATTTCTAAAAGGAGATACTGCCCTTGAAAGACAATTTTTACATGTCTTTATGGGTTTTTTTTGCAGGAACTTTAGTAGATAGAGAAAAACAGCAAACAGCAAAAAATTATCAGCAGGCCAAGGTCTACAAATAGGTCAGCATGGCCAAAAGCCTAAATCAACACATTTGAGAGGTTATTGCCCAAATGTTTGTGTTTTTGCCAGAAACTGTCAGAAATATTCTTAATGCATATTATGCAAAAGTGCTATTAGAGAGTTAAGGCATCATTTTGGAGCGGCTAGTTTTTTTTCATATATACTTGCCCATGTATAATTCTATACAGGTACCATTAGTCTTACAATGTCATCATAACAATTATTTTTCAGGGGAATCTATCCTAGAATTGGTACAGTCTATAGGAGGTAAAATGACAGAGGATGCGTTTGATTTGGTTTTGAAATACCTTGGACTTGATGTAAGTATAAAAGATTTGATATATTTTATATTCATACATGTAATATGGCAAGTGAGAGGTTTAGCTAGCTATAAAACAAGGTTTAGTGTTTATGTTTGATGTTTTCAGCTTTGTATCAATCTTATGAACTAAGCCTTTTTCAACTGATTTTTATAGTTTGTTCTTATGCTGTGTTGTTACACCACTGTCCCAGGTTCAGGGGAGGGATCAGCGCTCACAAACATGTTCAACCCACCACATTCTTTATGTGCCTGTCCCAAGTCAGGAGCCTGTAGTTCAATGGTTGTCGTTGGTTCATGTCTGTCATATTTGTTTTTTGTAAATTGTTTTGTTATAAATTAGGCTGTTAGTTTTCTCAATTGAATTGTTTCATATTTTTCATGTCGGGGCCTTTTATAGTCGACTATATGGGCTTTTCTCATTGTTGAAGGCGGTACAGTTGCCTATAATTGCTTACATCCACTTTATTTGAACTTTGGTGGATAGTTGTCTCATTGGCAATCATACATAATTTCCATATTTTTATATTAATCCACAATTTTCTACATAATGAAATGCCTGTACCAATGACAGTTGTTTTCCATTCGTTTGATGTGTTTGATATTTGGATTTTGCTGTTTTGATAAAGGACTTTCCGTTTTGAATTTTCCTTGGAGCTCGGTATTTTTGTTAATTAATTTTTTTATATCCTATTGTCAGTAAGTCTCTCTGTACTATTATACAGTGATTTGATAAATGCAGAACGGGAATCACCAAAAATGCTTGGCAGTACAACAGACCACACAAACCACAAATAACCCCAATAAATTAACATTAATGTAGAATTATCTGATTAATGTAAAAAGTGAGAAATTGACTGACAACGGTCTATTAAACTTAACTTAATATTTTTATTGAATTTTTACACTGTACTAGATTTGATGGGATGAATACACATATATTTATAATTAAATGCATATTAATCTGTCAAAAGCAAGAAAATAGGTAAAGTAATCAGTAATCTGTATTTTGAAGTACATATTAGGAAATGATGTCAGGTAACATTGCTACAACATCATGTTTTTCATGTCAATCCACAGCAATTTATTGTTCAAATGTGTGCAACATCATTCATCCGATCATTAAAAATATTGTAATGTTTTGTAGGCAAAAGAAATTTTTATTAGTTACTTCATGATATTTCAAATTGTGTCCCAAGAAAAAAATTTTTTAAACTAATTGTTCTATAAGCCTCAGGCTTGATATTTGTGCTGAGAAAGTCGGTATCTAAAACAAAAATTCCATTATTCTATATATCTTGGCCAATATTTCAAATAAAAAAAAAATCAGTTGATATCAGTTTTGATATCATCTTCCTCTACGCTTTTTTATCAGTTTTGATATCATCTTCCTCTACCCTTGTTTGTGATGATATGCAGCGATGACTGTGATGCAAAAAAAACCCCAAATTTAAGTTTTTGAAATTTAGAATTTTAGTGAATTAATAATTTATTTTAGGTTTTAGTTTGTATTAGAAATGGAATCTGGATTTTGAGGTCTTCAAGTGGAGAAGCAACATATCAAACATGATTTAATACAAGAAAGGAGAAGTAATTGAACATTTTATATTCTCTCAGAACTATTCTTGAACTGGGAGATCTATGTTATTTATACCAGGAATAAGAGGTACAATTAAAACTTGTTGTAAAACTTTGTGAAAGAAAGTTTTTGAAATTTTTTTTCTTTATCTTGCAGAAACATTTTCAAACTGGACCATGTAATGTTCAAGAAGGACCAAAAGGTAATTTACAAATATAAACAGAGGCCATTATTAAAGAAATCCTACTTACAAAATATATCTTTAAGAATCGATACAATTATACTCTCACTCCAAGTGATGACAGTGTAACAGTGTTAAGTTATATTTTATTGTTACATGTATTTCAGATTGTCCTGTGACGATTAACCCACAAAAGTATCTGCCAGCCAGCATAAGAACAATGTTACAGTGTGAAATGACAGATAATTGTTTTGGTTTGGATTGCTGTATAGACTTAACATTCCAACTACCACTGGGAGATAGCACCGTCACCTATCATATACCATTCTTGTTCAAATTTGAACCATGTGACTTTATAGTTGATGTCAGATTTGGTGGATATACATACAAGAAAGTTCTTCTAGATTATAATTGGGGTAAAATTATCTTCTGTTATGTAAAGGTTCTGTGGCTATATTGCATTTACTGTCTGTCTCTCCATTTGTCAAACCAATATTTCGTCAGGTACTACTGAAAAGAATGACTTCTTATTTGGTAAGCAGCTTGACAGTGATGAATTGTAATGTTTGAGTGCTTTTCCCATCTACCTGACACCTTCCATACTTTGAATCATATGTGGTGAAATACTTAGCAAGACAAAGTACTTCCATAAAGTCTCCTCTTCCCCTTCTCTCTGCCCTTCACAGATTGTTTAATTTTGCTTTAACTGTCTCTTTATTTAAGATACATCATGGTATATTAATTTGTATTTAACTCTACAAGTTTTATGTTAAGAACAATACATCTAAAGAATGATTGGGTCATTATGATTCAGTGGGAAATCTAGTGACAAAATATTACCTCCCCTGTAAACACTGAAAACTAGATCTTCTCAATGTTTGTCCCATTTTAGCAAAGACGCTATCAATTATGGATTCACGGAAAAACGTTCTGGTAAATAGTAAATATAGAAATAAGTTGAAATAAAAACAGAACTTCCATTGAATGTTATCATTTTCCCTCCTTAAGTAGCAATCGACGAGTACAGCAGGCTATAGAAGCTTGATGTAAAATTGGTTTAAAATGTTGCTATACGAATAAATTCCTGGAGTACCAACTTCAATTTATTTTTCTACTTGCTTTATACCTCTCTGGAACTACTAATTATCTGTATTTAGATACAGCTAGATCAGTGAAAGTCAGGAAAAAAATTCCAAAGGAATCGATTGATATGCAGCAAAGATTGGTACTTTTGAAATTAAGTTACAAAGCAAATTCAAGCAGACCTTATCCCGATGTAAACATTGAATGTGAATAGATCGAGAAGACCGCAAATACATGTACAAAAATCGAGACGACCTTTTCTTAAAATTATATAAAAAATAGTAGAAAGATACCTACTTTATAAGAATAGTTATCTTCTTAATTTCTTAGCCTGCACAGACAGACTTTTAATTTTTTTCTATTCACGAAAAGACAATATTTCTCTATTGAATGTACATGTGACAAGAGCAGACCGGTGTGTTGATAACTTAGGTCTGAAAAAATAAGTATACTTTGGGAAGTTGTAACATGCTAAGGACTTTCGAAAATTGGTGACCTGAAAGAACTTTAGATTTTGTATGTTCATGATTTTTTCCAATTTTTTTATAAATATGCAGCAAAGATTGGCATTTATTAAATTTCAGTTTCACAAGCTTCTAATTCAATTATCTCGATAAATACCAAACATAAAACATCGTGTATTTGCATGTATATTTCTAATATAAACACAGTTTAACAAATAATGTCTTTAAAATGTACAATTATTATTTAGAAATAATTTTTTATCAGTATTGTCACCGGCATTGTTTTATTATTGACTTTATTGACTCTATCATAAGAAGAGTGAATTTTCTTTTGTTTTCGTTCACTAGATTTCCCACTGGATTGACATGTGGTATGCATTATTTTTTTAAACCACTAGTCTTTCTGATCCTGATATAACATTTCCTGGAAAATTTTATAATCATGAACAGCCATTCAGCTTTGAGTGAATTTGATTAGTTTTCACATAAATGTCTGTTTTTCTAAATTGAACAACTTATATCAAGAAGGAGTGATAACTTGCCATTACAATCTACAGGAATATTTCAAAAATGACATCTGATAAACGTTTGCCTGTTGGACTAGTTAGGAATCTTGGACTTAACACTCTGTTTATACTATATTGTAGGTGAGAAGAGTGTTCTGGGTATTGGAAATGGTGACCCAGCACCTGTTTCTATTGAGTAAGTTTTCAAATATTTTGGCACTACGCTTGAATAAATTGGGCATACTTACTTTTATATATATTATTATATATTTAATTGATCCAACTTTTTGTGTACTATACATACGTGGATATCTATTTTTCTTTTTTTCTTTTTTGGGCTGCTTGTTTGTTATCTATATCAACCACACTTGCAATAAAATGCATTAGTATTAAAAAAAAAAACATACTTTATCTACGTATTCTTTAAGAACTTAAATAGTTCTCGTTTAACTTTTTTTTTTTTTTTTTATCTCATTGTTTGTACTGTATTATGAAAAAAATTATTGATGTTGTAATGTTTATGCCCTTTGGGGCCCATAAATGGAAATAAAAAATATCTTATCTTATCTAATATCTTATCTTATAATATAAATAAGAAGATGTGGTATGAGTACCAATGAGACAACTCTCTATCCAAGTCGCAATGTATAAAAAGGTAACAATTATAGGTCAAAGTATGGCCTTCAACAAGGAGCCTTGGCTCACACCGAACAGCAAGCTATAAAGGGCCCTAAATTACTAGTGTAAAACAATCAAACAGGAAAACCAACTTTCTAATATATATAAATAACGAGAAACACTTATGAACCATACGAACAAACGACAACCACTGAACAACAGGCTCCTGACACTTAGGACAGGTTCATAAAAATGCAGTGGGTTTAAACGTTTTAACAGGCACCAACCTTCACCCTAACCTGAGACAGTAGTGTTACATTATAACATAAAAAGACACACTATAAAATATCAATTGAAATGGCTTTTATTTCGATCAAAAAGACATTTAAACAAAAACAAGTAAACATGCACTGAATGAATAAGTTTGATCTATGACCCAATACAATATTAATAAAAAAGATGTTAGAACAGTGTCGAAAAGACAACTCTAACCTGGGAGAAAATGGCGTTAAATAAAACAACGTACACAGGTAAATGTAAATATAATAATTTTGTTGTTAGGAGTAGGGAATATCATATTTTAACAACTGAAACCATACATGTATTAACTACTTTCTTAGTCAATTCAGTTTAAAATTTATTTAAAGTTTTTTTTTTGTTATTCCTCAGATGAAATTACTTAGTTTCTGGTGACTTGATTTACCTGCAACTTCAAAAATGAACACAAACCATCACATAAAATATATATATAATGGACAATTGATTGTTATCTCTGAATTATTTCAAAGGTATACTATTGACAAGATGGAAGGCAGTCAGGGATTCATAATAGATGCCAAGATCATTATTTGTTTTCCTATTGATGGTGATTTGTTCTGTGCACCTGATGGAGGAATTCACATCCTAAAACAGCAAACATTACCAGTGTGTTCTCAAGAGTTTTATGACTGGATAAAAGGTAACATAAAATATTGTCAATTTAACCTGAAATGGGAATGCCTTACAGCATCTCAGTCAATATAGTAAGATCTGGAAAGTAAGTGACCACCGATATAATACAAGGTAGTAGTTTGGCACAAAAAAGTTTATTTTTGGGATACAATCTGTCATAAACAGTGTCATAAATCAAAGAGCCTTTTTAGAAAACTATGACTCAAAGAACTGACATGGACAGGGTTAAATTTCTTGAATCATATTTTGCATCTTTTAGAGTTAAAGTAAAATGTGTTAAATCATGTAAAACTTGGTATGTTTCAACCTTGTTTGGATTTATTTCAAATGGTTTAAATAGACGTATTTGCACTTGTATGCAAATTTGTCCGCCATTACTTAAAATCATACAAGTTCCTGTCCTGTAAAATTTGACATCACAATTTATAGAATTTGACGTTATAATTAAAAAGTGATTGTTGCTTGATGTCAGAAGGCTATTCGGAGCAGATCTAAGGTCATTCGGAAACAAAATTCAACTATATACCAAAAGTGTAAATTCGTTTATGGGTAATAGTTTTCTTGAAATCTCCAAATTCTGAACAAACACCAATCCACATGGCATGTTATGGTAGATATATTTATTAACAAAGTTATGAATAAGATCTATATCAGTAGGAGCAATTTGGTGAAGTATGCTATAGTAGATGGACAAATGTGCATCAGACAACATCACATTCAAAACAGATTGATAAAAATAAAAACAAAAACAAATGTATATGTATTTATCAAATTATATTTATTATCAGTGACTAAAAATCATACTGTTACCTGGAGTAGAAATAAATACCTCTTTAACCATTTTAGCTTATTTATTGTATTCAATACATTTAGATTGTACTGCTGTTACACCAGCTGATATCATATTTGTGTTGGACGAGTCTGGAAGTGTTGGCCAGGAGCAGTTCACTTTGTCCTTGGAAGCAATATCAGAGACCACAGACAAACTGGCCATAGGGGAAAATCTGATCCGTGTTGGAATGTCTATGTTTGGAGGGACTGGTACATCTAGAACCGGTTTTGATCTGGATACCAGCTATGACAAATCTGTAATTAATCAGAATGTTCTTCAGATACCCTATAACAAACAAGGATATACCGATATTGGTGATGCTTTGAGGTATGCATGTGAAGACATGTTTGTTTCCAGTAAGGGTGACAGAGGAGATGATGTAAAGAACTATGTAGTGTTGATGACAGATGGACAGTCAAACAGAGGGAGTACACAGACAGGAGTGAATACCTGTAGAAATAACGATGTAACAATCATAGCTGTGGGGATAGGGGATGGTATTAGCAGGACTGAGTTGTTATCTGTTGTACAGGATCCTAACCATTTCATCAATACAACTTATGTTGAATTACACGAAACTCTACCAGACATTGTTACAAAATCTATAGACTGTAGTGCAGGTAGGCTGAAGTTTGAAACAAGAAAGATCAATTATTTTCATCAAAATTAATGGTGAAGGACAAATGATATTTTAGAAAAGAAATGATTTTCTACCAATTTTATATGTATATTAAAGTGAATGTTTGTAAAACTTATTTAAAAATGTATTGTGTAGGTGAGGTATCATCACAGAATGCAATTATTTTTTTTTTTCCAGACATTTCATCTTTCATTTCTAATTGGTTAAAACAAGCTGGTATGGAAGTTTTGGGTGGAGTAAAAGAAGGTGGGAAACAACTGATACTAAAAAGACTTGGTCTATATGATTTTTTCAGTGGACCTAATTGTGACAGGGAGAGAAAACCTTATATTCCAAATGTTGGGGGATGGAATAATGGTAATTTAAGTTTAATATGATAGGTAGAAGGCATCACACAGACAATCCCTGTTATATACATTACAATCATAAATATACAATCTCTTCAATATAAGGAGATGTGGGGTATATGTCAAAGAATTAGAAAACAGCCACCCAACCACACCAAAAATTCAAAAGATTGTTTAATCTTGCTAATTAATAGATAAGTATGTCCTATTAACTTTAGATAATTTACCAAATGTTCTTTCATAGTCAGTTGTTTAAGTTAAAAATCATAGAACTTTGTGTTTATTTATGTATGTTTTTATACTCCACTCAACCCTCTAAAATAAAAAATATAAAACAATAATAAAAAAGTGTCCATCGTAAAGGAAACTTTACCATGGTGACATGTCACATAATCTTGTCCAGACACAATCCTTAGTTACGATATACCAAAGATCCTAGGTCAAAAATATATTTTGTAAATTGTTGAAACTTAAAAACTTTACTTTTAGTTCGCTTAACCTGTAGATAGAGGGAATTATTTTATCTTGCAGAGTGTCTGTTAGGAACATTAGGAATGCCAGAACTACCAGACAACATGGCCTGCCATTTTAAGGACACATGTACTGGGATAGAATGCTGTATAGAAGTTCCTGGTCTTGGTCTAACCTTACATCCATTCCTCATCATAGATCCATGTGAATATACCTTAAACTATGGTGTCAACACAATTAATGAAACTATCCAGCTTATTAATTATGAATGGGGTATGTTTTTAATATTATATATGTATATTAGTATATAATGATATTTTTTATATTTTATGTTATTGTACTTCTATTTTGCTTTATCCAAGAGATTTTGTCTTAAAAGAATACCACTAGGCCAAAACATTTTTCAAGTCTCAGTTTGAATTAATTTTTTAAACAAATTAAGTAATTAAGAATTACTTCCAATTGCCAGAGAAAGGTTTTAGTGTATATGAGACTGGGATTTGTAAATGTGTAAACATTGCCTTAAATTGTAGATTTATTTTCCAAGGGATCATAGATTTATTCTTACAAGGAAGCTCGAAGGATGCTCAGAGATTTTAAAGTAGGCTCTTCTCAGCAGTTTATGTGACAATAATTATCATGATCCATTAAGATGTCAATCAAATCTATAGCACTTCTATAATAAGGAAAGTAGAGCATTATAGTGGAAGCTCAATTAACACCTGTGTAAACATCTGGTCTATTCAAATAAATCTGGCATGAAATTTTACAAAACTATAAAAAAGATTAGAAATTCTTCTATAGTACTGTACAATGCTTGGAAAGAAATATCAAGTCTCCACAGAAAGAAAATGTTTCAAAAACATTTTCTTATTTAATAATCATTCTTTTTCAATACAAAAAAAATACTCAAATTTTATATTTTAAATATAAATATAGCTTAAATTTATACTATATAAAATGAAGCATAAAAGTTATCAAAGACACAAACTATGGTAAAATTAATTGAGAATGGAAATGGGGAATGTTTCAAAGAGACAACAACCCCAACCAAAGCAGAAAACAGCCGAAGGCCACCAATGGGTCTTCAAGAGAGCGAGAAAATCCTGTACCCGGAGGCGGGCTGATTTATAATCATTTGTAAAACTTTATATGCAATAGCAAACTTAGTTCTTTAATAGAAAATGATGGCTACTTTGGGAAAAGTTGTAATTCATAGGTTTGGTTGAAGGACTTTTCACAATTGATAGTCCTTCAAGAAAAAGAAATAGAGGATTGCTGAACTAAAATCCATTTATTTTACTCCATTATATTGTCAAAAATTCAAGGTGAAATACCACCAAAACATAGTACATTCAGTTTCATGCGAAAAGGGTTGATTTTTTTTTATATTCCATTTAATTTGATAGGTGTTGGAAATTAACCATGCATTTCATTGCAGAAAAGTTTTTTTTGGGTCGTAAACATGTATCTTGGGTGTTTCAAAGCAATAAAAAAATTCTATTTGGTGTTTCTATAAAATATTTTGGAAATTTAAGGGGACATGGCTACTAAAGCATGTAAACAGGGAAAAAAGGGGGAGAGGAATTTTATTGGTTAACTTCTGGTGATGTTTGCTATCTTATCTGCAATGAAAAGTTATGTTGTATTTTCACTGTAGTACTGGACAGTATAAAACTTTACTCATGTCAAGTATTTCTTTATTTAAAACATAGATAAATTCTGCACATCTAAAAAAAAAAATGCCAATTACACAAAGACTTATAGGGGAAAAACAATTTTATGTTAAATTTTCACTGTAGTACTGGACAGGATAAATTTTTACTCATGCCAAGTATTTCTTTATTTAAAACAGATAAATTCTATACAATTTAAAAAAAAAAGTCAATTAAACAAGAGACGTACTAGGGGAAAACAATGGTGGTATTACCCCCTCAAACCAGCCTTCCAATAACGAATTACAACTTTTCCAAAAGTAGCCATAATATTCTATAAAAGTACTAAGTATGCTATTTTATAAAAAAAATATTACCATTGTTTAGTTAGGGGCATTACTTTAACAAGTAATTTTCAAAATTACCTATACAAGTTATGTTGAAAATGAAGGCTATTTCAAATATTACTTCTATATCATGTATAAGTAACTTTTGTTAATATTATTCTTATAGGTGTCCACTCATACAGGTTTTACTAGCTTTAACAAATTTTCACAGACAACTGGTTATTTTTCCCATGAAATATAAAACTAATCCTACCGAAACACTAATTACCTTTCTGACACCACTCTTCTGGGTCAAAGATTGGTCTCTTGGGGCTATTTCAATATCATTTTCCTTTAAAATCTTAAAGGAAGACAGATATAAATAGATAGAACCTTGTTATTTAATTAAGACTTGGAGTTATTTATAATTTTTAATCTAAAACAATTACATATTTGTAAGTACTAAGTTTTTCAAAGATGTATAAAATAATTTATAAAAGTAATATTTTCGTCCTTATTTTTTAAAGTAACCTTTTATCTCTATACTCATTTCAAATTTGATAAATACTTGATTTCATTTAATAAAATGATATAATAATTCTTAAAACTACATTTAGTCCATGCTTCTGTTGACATTTAAAATAACTATTGAGTTATTAAATAATTCTTAAAAACAAAAAATATATAAGTAACTAAAAAAAATAACTTGTTTAGTATCGCCCCCTGACTGTTGTTTGTGTCGTGATGACTTTTATGTAGCATATTATTGTCAGAATGGGTCAAAACAATCAGGTCTCTGATAAAACTTCGCATTCATAAGTTGAAAAACTGTGTGAATGATCGACCAAAGTCCGTTTTCAGAGACAAAGAGGCTGTGAAATGTCTATCATCTCTACATGATAAGTATGTTGTTGTTCCTGCGGACAAAGCTTCAAATAATATTGTCTTTGTATGTAAATCGTAATACTACGAGTGTCTTGTAAAAGAATTAGGAATAAATGAGCACTCAGGTAATCCACATACAAAGACATATCATTTGACAAGGATTAGATTTTGGCGAATCATAAGTCCTTCATGACTTCAATGAACATTGCATTGAACAACAAATCGGAGGACTTACCTTGTTTGTATTGGATACCTAAGCTTCACAAAATTCTGTACAAACAACGGTACATTGTCGGCTCATCTGCATGTTCGACTAAAGAATTGTCCATTAGATTGACCAAAATTCTGTCCGCAGTGAAACAGGATCTTCAGAAATACTGTGAAACTGTTAACTCGCGTAGTGGTATTAACCATATGTGGATTCTAAAAAACTCTGAAGAACTTCGAGATAATTTTAAATTCCGATCTTTTTCTGAAATTAGTTCTATCAAAACTTTTGATTTTTCAACCATGTATACCACCATTCCCCATGTGAAATTGAAAAATCGTCTAAAAGAAATAATCCACAATGCTTTTCAACATAAAAACGGTAGCATACGCTATAAATTTATTACTTTGGGATACCATACAGCATATTTAGTTAATAGTGAACAAAAAGGTAAAACATGCTACACAGAGGAACTAATGATCAGTATGCTGGAGTTTCTTATTGATAACATATTTGTTGAATTTGGAGGTAGACTTTTTCAACAAATTGATGGCATTCCTATGGGAACGAACTGTGCGCCTCTCCTTGCCGACCTCTTCTTAATTTTCATATGAATCAGAGTTCCTTCAGACACTTGTTAAAAACAAGAAGATCAAAGAAGCTAGGTCATTTAATTTCACTTTCAGATATATTGATGATGTTCTTTCCATTAATAATTCTATCTTTTCTGATTGGATTTCGTTGATATATCCCCCAGAACTTGAAATTAAAGAAACAACAGACACGGCTTACTCTGCCTCATTTTTAGACCTATACCTCGAATTTGAAATACACAGTCATCTCAGTACCAGAATCTATGACAAACGAGACGATTTTAAATTTGAAATTATCAATTTCCCCCACCTTAGTAGCAATATACCAACTTCACCTGCATATGGGATATACATTTCCCAACTTATTCGGTATTCAAGAGCTTGCAGCTCCTACTCAGACTTTGTAAAACGTCACCAGTGTCTGAGCAGAAATTTGATGAACCATGGGTTTGTCAAAGAACGTCTCTTCATTTTTCTAAAAAAGGTCATCGGAAGGTACCAAGACCTTGTTGATAAATATTCCGTATCAACTTCAAAAATAATACACGATGGTCTTGAAGTATAGATTCTGGGTACTGACGTTGTTTATCATCTTAATAACGTGTTATTCTCTTCTTTTATTTGTCTTTAGGAATATTACTTTTACTGTTTAGTCTGTTTTTATTGATATCCATTTGACGTGGCCTGGTACTTGTACATCCCGTCATTGTGTTATTGTTCTATGATAATTCTCGTATTCTTGTCTTTCATTTTTGTCGAGCCTGCGACTTTTGTCGCAGAAAGCTCGACATAGGGATAGCGATCCGGCGGCGGCGGCGGCGGCTACGGCGGCGGCGGCGGCGGCGGCGTTAGCTAACTTCTTAAAAGCTTTATATTTTAGAAGATGGAAGACCTGGATGCTTCATACTTTGTATATGGATGCCTCATGTTACGAAGTTTCCGTCAGTCACATGTCAAATGTCCTTGACCTCATTTTCATGGTTCAGTGACTACTTGAAAAAAAAGTTCAGATTTTTTGTAATGTTAAATTCTCTCTTATTATAAGTAATAGGATAACTATATTTGGTATGTGCGTACCTTGCAAGGTCCTCATGCCCGTCAGACAGTTTTCACTTGACCTCGACCTCATTTCATGGATCAGTGAACAAGGTTAAGTTTTCGTGGTCAAGTCCATATCTCAGATACTATAAGCAATAGGTCTAGTTTATTCGGTGTATGGAAGGACTGTAAGGTGTACATGTCCAACTGGCAGGTGTCATCTGACCTTGACCTCATTTTCATGGTTCAGTGGTTATAGTTAAGTTTTTGTGTTTTGGTCTGTTTTTCTTATACTGTATGCAATAGGTCTACTATATTTGGTGTATGGAATGATTGTAAGGTGTACATGTCTAGCTGGCAGGTGTCATCTGACCTTGACCTCATTTTCATGGTTCAGTGGTCAAAGTTAAGTTTTTGAGTTTTGGTCTTTCTTTCTAATACTGCATGCAATAGGTCTACTATATTTGGTGTATGGAATGATTGTAAGGTGTACATGTCTAGCTGGCAGGTGTCATCTGACCTTGACCTCATTTTCATGGTTCAGTGGTCAAAGTTAAGTTTTTGAGTT